ATTTACTATTATTAACAGTTGTGCCTAGAAATATAAAAATTCGAGTAGGCAAAAACTCTGGCGCTTTTAGAATTCATTCTTACTAAACCCCTTTATAAGGTATTCAATCTAATACAAGCTCTGAGAGAAGTGTTAGGAAAATATTTTTCGATTATTGGAAAGAAATTTCATAGGGTTACTACCACAAAAGTAACAAAATAATAATAATGAAACATACATTTACTCTCTTCTATCATTTTTATTCCTTTAGTTTTCTAGTTTTCATGAAGATCTAATAGTTTAAGCATTTTATACATTTATACGTATTTAAATATTACATCTCTTTTATACGCATATACATACAGGATAGCAAAATAGAGAGCTATATGTGGCTTGTCGAACAAAGTAGAAATATAGTAAGAGAAAGCATATATGATTCAACTTGAGGGTGTCTTACTTTTCGCACTCGATGTCGTTAAGGGACCGTATGTACACTGTGGTGCTCCTTATAATCCCTTTCTTGGGCACAATGGAGATGACCATTCCACAAACAATCACCACCCGACCCAGACTTCGTCACTGAGCATCAAGCTGTCAAACAAAAGATCAGTGGAAAAGGAAAAAACAACCGATAATTCCTCATTCCCCTCGGTGCGGATTTTTCAGGATGATGATACCGATGCATGGAATGAGAAAAACACCGCTATGGATCATACCCAGGGCAGGAACACTGAGGCCCTTTTCAGCTCTGATGCGATAAGTACGGAGGCAACCAACGGCGAGACCACAGTCACTACTGCGACAGGAGACCGCGGGATAGGGGGGCTTATTGATCTTTTCGTGCCGCGTTCAGAGTTTTGCCATCGTGTTCTCTGGCTTCATCCTGCAGAGTCAGGTATTTTTTATCTGTACTATCCTGAGGAAATCCCAGGTGAACATTACCAACGTAAAACCCTACGGTACTCTCTTTGCTTCATGTTTCAGGTCAATCCCCACTGGATGTCTATCGGTGAGTCTCACATTCAACAACTTGTGAAGCCTTACAGTATGATGCTCCGTAACGTTGCCGAAAAGTTAAGGTATGCTGAGGTAAACTACCGATACATAAGTCGCGCTTTAACGGCAACCAATGTCTTCCCTTCGGGGCACTTTGCCGATGCACACACTGGAGTTGCCCCCCCGACGTTGATCGTGTCTAGCAGTAACACCCTTTCGAATTTAGTCAATGAGGACGAAACTTGCGTTCCATCAAGATCTGAATATGGGAATAATACTCCGATGGCAGCCGCGAGATTGGCCTCCACTGAAACTACTTTTCCTACAACAAGTACAGAGCATGCCAACACTACCGGAAGTCAATTTCTTTCCTTTTCTTCCTTTAATTGTCCGTGTGTTGAGGGGATATTGCCATCCCAGCCTGTGAATGCGACTGAGGAAGTTGTGTCATGTGTTGTTTGTGGAAGGAATAAAGTAGTGCCCTCTGCAACGGAGTCCACCACGGGTGCAGTCGAATTTTCGGTGTCGTCCACGCTTGAAAAAAGGGTTACACCTTTTAGGGCAATCCCTGAGGAGGCTGCAAGGTCCCACGTGGACGGAAATCTCGTGGAAGGGAGTAAGAAAATCCCAGAGGACGGGGACGAAATAACCACCAGGACCACGGTGGCTGCAGGCGCCGTCCCTCAGAGCAACCACGAGGATTCCGTACCGAACATTTCACGTTTCTCAACCGTAACGTCATCTTCAGGCCTAAGCACCAGGTATATTCCTCCCGATATGTTGTACCGACAACTCTATACGTCGGGGGCATCCACCTCCGCGTTCCCTTCGACCGCGACGCCTGCCGTTACGGCAGCGGCAACACTCTACCCGGCACTCAATTGTTTCATTACGCCACTGGTGGAACACAGGTGGACACCGTTGGGGGAATTCATCGAGGGGCTCTATCATGTCCTACGCAAGGCTGACCTCGATGATGCTGGTGTTGAAGAAAGTTATTTCAAGACGATCGGCACTCTGGAGGCGTCGGGGCAAAAACAAGAGACCGGAGTTTCCCTAGACAGAGAGTACGCGTGGGATCGATCAAATACGAAATCCCCCTCATCTGCGTTATCGACCTCAAAGGTCGTGGCGTGTGTGACGGCGGCTTCACCACTCAGGGTGGGCTGCGACAGCTACGAACCGCATTTGATGGGTACTGTAAGTGAGGCGGAGAGTACAGAGAAGCAGTCAGACAACGTATTCGTCGAAGTGAGCGATAGGGGTTTCTCTGCGGAATTTAACGACCGATGTACAAAGCATATTGAAAGGCGTGCCTCCGTACTGGCTGCACGTTTGCGTGATAAAAAAGTACATGATCCTAAGTTTGTGTATCTATCCAACATCCTCGGCATTCGTATTTCTCGCATAGCGCCTCTGCAAGTCGCAGAGACAATTCGTCTAGACCAAGTCCCCGTCCCTATTGTTTCATGCAGTATGGCTAAGATGGAAATTTTCGAGCGGATGGATCTTATTGTTCACGAAGCATTAAAACTTATTGACGGTTGCCGTACGGTGGCAGCTATCGCCTTTATCTTATCGATTAAACTGAGCGCACAGCTAAGGGAGTTTTATAGCACAACAGTGCAGAAGGTCGCTAGTTCGGTGGTAAAACCAACTCTTCCCTCAAACAACAAAAGTTATACATATCAGAGTGAACCAGAAAGAAAAAAAAGTGTATCACACGGAGGTGTAGCTAGTAACACTACACCTGGTAGCGGTTTAGATGCGTCGTCACTTAACTCTATCTACACTTCTAAAGGTTCGCATCCCAATCTCTCACCGCATGTTCTCGTCAGCGTATTCCACTATGCTCCTACCAACGAGTCTGTGGCACCAGCGGCGTTTATTCCCAATTCTATTCCTTCGAACAGTTTGAATAGGCGTAAAGCCAGCGATAACAGTCCCCTCCGCAGCTTCTTACACAGCCAAAACGCTCCATCTGTGGGGAATCTGCGTTACCCACCTGATATGCTGTCGAGTGTGCTCGAACGCGGTACAAAGAATATACTAAACCCAACCATTTCTACTTCTTCCTTCGCCGCTTCCGAAGGGTCAATGGTGGTTGAGCTGCCGACCTGCTGGAAGGTTGTTCTGGATGCTCTTGTGGAGGCCTTACTTCACTTGCAAATGTGCAATTTTGTGCGTCTGCTTGACGTTTGGAGCCCGCACGCGTGTTATCAGGTCACTGAGCGTTTTTACGATATACTTACTAATTGCAAGCACCCAGCACGAGAGGCCATTGGCTCTTATATGATACAAGTTACTGATCAAATACGTTTGGCACCACGGAAGAAGATGCGTAGGTTGGGCGCGCAAAAGTCAGGGAACAAATACCAGGAGAAAGACATATTGAATCCAAAGGATAGAACTGAGCAAACTGAAACATCTGAAGGATTTCCCTCTCAAACCAAACCACACGGTACAGTGTCTGGGCAAAGCAAAAAAAAATCAGGTTCCGATGGGTTGAGTGTGGAGTTCCGCTCTGCTGAAACGCACGAGTCGAAAGCTTCATCACACGCTGTCGAGACGCCTATTCACCCGAAGTCGCGCGACTCCATGTCGTCCACTACTACTACTACGACGTCTTCCCTAATCGTTAAAAAGCACCATGATAGGGAGATCAAAAAAAGTGAATTGAAGCCAGCACCACCCTTTGATGAGGATGGGACGAATGAGCTACCTCGGCGAAACAGCGCTTCTTCTGCCATAACTACAAGGGCCACTACTTCCTGTGTGCCTGCCCCGTGTACCACATCCCCGTCTTTATTTTCGTTACCACGGCAATACTCCAAGAAAGTGTACAGCCTAATCACAGAACAACATGTAAGCTGTGCTGATCCCCATGCCCCCACACCTGCGGTTGGCTCTACAGCTGCTAACAATAAACATGATAGGCTTATTTCTGGAGGACGAACGAGGCTGACACCGGGGGTAGCCATAAGTCCGCCAACTCTCTCCACAAGTCCCTTTTCACAATGTGCATCTATGCACGACCAAAGAGGAAATGTCATAGATACCCCATCGTTTTCTCATGCATTGCCACAGGCGAACATTGTTCTGAGTCTAGGGATTGGGGTTGGGACGGAAGCGAGATCGAATCGATTGTATCTAACGCTCTCGGCTGCATCACTGAGTACACACTCGACCTTAAGGCCATCGGCCTCTATCTCATTGTCAGTTTCTTCTGCACTCGGCGAAGATACGACCCCAACTAGCAAATACATCTTTCCTGCTAGCTGGAGTTCGAACGAGGGAAAGTTTTCGGAGTTCTTAATTGCGAAAAGTGGGAAGACAGGCCTCATTGGAGGCAGTGTGAAAGAACCCACCGTTGGTGATTGGGTCGACAGTAGTGACGGTTTCATTTCAAGCACCACCAGCTCTGATCTGTGCTCTGACATATCTTCCTTGTCATCGTCGACCGTGGCATCACTACAGGCACCAGATACCGTAGCACCCACGAGTAGCGATGCCACAAACTTTCTTTTTGCAGAGGCAGCCATACACAATCTCCATAAAAAGGTAACTCACCATCATGAGGTTCCTAAATTATCTTCCCCTCCGATTGTCACTCCCCGCCTTAGTCGGTATACCATATCTCACACCGAGACAGAAATAAGTTTGGCGTCATCCGCCGCGCTATGTGCACTAGGAAAGTTCCAACACAACACAGTTGAAGCCGTGCAGCTTGAGATGCGATGGCTACCGGCGTGGGCGGGAGCCTTTGCAGGCTGGGCAACGCCCTGCTGCTGGGCTTTGGTAGAACTGGCGATACTAAACGGCTGGCTTGAGAAGGTATTGGTCTAGCAAATTTTCTTTTTTTTTTATTATTTCACTATCATTTTCAATTGTCTCAATCGACATCTCACTAAAGTGAAGATGCAACTTAGTCATCGAGCGTCTTCTTCCTTCCCTGTTACAGGTTGAATGAAGTCAAAAAATGAAATCACGTGCCCTTTCCCTTCTTTTTTTCTTTGGATGCTCCTGCTCTTTACTACCTGTTTTTCATCATGTTTCTGTGCTTTAGTTATATTGTTCTTCTCGATTAGAAAATTACTATATTGTTTAAGCTCTTATGTTATTTTACATTTTATCATTTATATTAGTACGATGTATATCCTCTTTACTATTGTTCATTATAACTCCCTCTGTCTTATATCATTCATTGTTTCTAAAGGTATTAAACATTTTCTCAAAAAAAAATATATATACGATCTCTCACAGAAGGTTTATGAATTTTTTCTGCATTGATCTATAAAATAAGTCTTAAGAAAAAGTAGTAACAATGTCTATGTGGGTTGCTATTGCTTTTATATTGATAATAGTGACTTATGTGCTTCTAGTGAAAAGATATACTAGAGGAAACGCACGATACGAAGCTGAAAGTATTTATTCGGATACTTATTATTCATCCCTAAATGAATTAAATAAGCAAAACATTGTTAAGCGTCCAAACACAAATGTTGGACGCCACAGACAAGCGCGAAAGGAAGATTGATTGACCTAATCTCCGGTTTTGTAGAAAATTATAAGTCAAATACATATTTCCATATTATTGACTTGACGAAGGATTACATTATTATTACTATATGAATACTTCTGCACCAACAATGCTCACGGATTAGATTTCTCCCTATCTTATTTATTACGTATCGTGACGGGCTGTTTACTTTAAAAAAAATTAAATATGCATTTCATATTTGAGCAACTCTCTCACCTTACGCTGTCGTATTTACTTCTGCTGGACTAATTTCATTTTTGCCATTTTCGTTAAAAAATTCTATAAATTGGGCTCCTCATAATGCATCCATGATTAATAAGAAAGGACAAAAAAAAAATCATTATTTTGTCTACCTTATAAATCCTAAAACGCTTCCTATTATTTTTCCTTGACACTATTTTATTTAATATTTCCGCCCTCTCAAACTGACATGCCTTTTTTATTGCATGTTCTCCAAACACAAGACACAGAGCTATATTCACGTATTGAGCCTACATAAGCATTGATATATTTATATTAATTTACGTTTACCTATTGACGAAGGCTGCGGTTTTGCTTTTGGGCGTCATTTTTTTGGTCTTGTATCAACAGACGTTAGGATAGAAAGGCACTATTCTTTCTGCGTTGACGTGCGCATTAAGTGAAACAGTGCAATTGGAATTTGAATTAAAGTAGTCGAAAAAAAAAATTCTTATTGTATAAGAAAGTGATAATCAATATAGAAATGGACACGTTTTCAGCATTTTCGACCTCGCCATCGGCTAACGCAGCGGCTTTTCATGTAAATGAAGGAAACCCTGGAGGAGTCACCCCCAGCGGCGGAATGACGGGTGTCGGCGGAGGTGTCTCAAGCACCTCTCATCTCAGCAACACATGTACCACAAACGGTCTACTAGCTAATGGTAACTTTGGCAAGATATCCTCGTCGGCGCTCTTTACGACTTCGGCAAACCCTAGCACTTTAATGCACTCTTCCCGAGGTAGTAACACTAATGGTGGTAGCCGCAGCAGTAGCCCCATAAACTTTACCGATAGCTCCGTTAACGGCATAGTTACTGGCAATCTTCGAGTGCCGTTGGGTACCATACATATGTCCAGCACTATGGACTGTAGCACCAACACCTATGACCTAGGCGAGAGCACACTTGAAAGCATCACGCAGACGTTGTCCGTGCTTCAAAACATTGCTGAGGGGCGGCATTTTGGGCAATGGAATGATATGCTCGACCCCCAAAAACCCTTTGAGTCTGGTCGAAAGATAAGCGCTGCGCTAAACAAGACTCCGCTGCCAGCACGAAAGGAGGGTGTAACAATTTTGGCTCGTGGCATGACAACTCCAGCACACTTAACCATTGTCAGCCACATGGAGGAGCCGTACCGCAATGAGGTACGTAATTTAGTCCTTCACGACCTCCTAAATCAGTTATCCCTCGCTGGAAATGACCCGATGCCGCTTTGTGCAGAGATGCTGGCGGAACTTTCTCGGCTCAACCTGGTTCGTCTGAGTGGTGTGGCGGTCGCAATTGAACGCTACCTTAGCGAACCGGACAAGCGTAGGGCGGGCATCGCGTTGCTTGGCCGTGTCGCAGAGTATAACCGCGGGAGCGAAGCGTTTTGTAGTGCTCTTCAAGCGACTGATGCGTTGCACCAGCTCTACACGATGTGCAAGGATCCAGAGTATGAGTACGACATCTCGACTATCACGCAGCTTCTCAGCAGCAACTCGGAGAAGAGTCCGGGCGCTTCCCTGTTCTGCCACTGCACCATCCCGCTACCGGCACCGGTAACTTGCATGCACTACTTTCGTAGCCGCGACGAGCTCGTGTCCGGGCAAGCAAATGGCACGGTGGTCATGTGGGGTGGGCAAAAATCGAATAATACATCCCTCACCCCTCCTAATGTTAGCATCAGCCCCATCGAGCGGTTTCCTGTCAGCGCGCAGAATGTAATGACTTTGTCTCCAGATGATGTCGCTGAGCATGCACCAGTCGCCATGGCAGGGCCGCAGCGCGGGCACTACCTGGTTGCTGCGGGTATGCCTTACCATATCATGCACCCTTACGCAGCGTACTTAGATATTGAGTCCTCTCAGCATAAGCGGCAATCAATCAGCAGTGCATCGTTGCCGCAGCCACTTTTGTGTGTTATGCCGTGCAATGAGCAAACTGGCGAGTGGAGCAACGGTAACGTCTTCTTTCGTCCTGCCGACCGTGTGATCACAGCTGTCACGGCGCTCTCAAACAATACCATTTGCAGCGCGGAATCTAGCCTTGGTGGCATTTCCCTTCTAGTAAAACCTCAGGAAACACGAACCCCGAAAGGCGGCACATCGGCTTCTAGTATGCTTAGCCAAGAACACAACATCCAGCTGATTAATTCAACTGACGGTAGGGTAGTGCGTACCTTAGCTAATGCTCATAGTGACTACATCACCATTTTGTCAACCCGTGAGGATGATGAGGTGGTGCTAATATCTGGTTCTCGAGATAAAGCAATTAAACTATGGGATACCCGTGTTAACAGCGCTGAGATCAGTACAATTGGAACGAATGGGACAACACCCTTGTCCTCATCATCCCTCTCTACTAGGGCTATGTCGACCTCAGTATACAAGCTAGAGTCTTCGATTCACACGGATACGATTAGCACTATATACACCTTTCGTAACTTTATTTTTACTGGTTCAATGGATGGTTCAATGCTGATTTGGGATGGTCGTCGGACAGCAACACCAGTTATGAGTCGTCGTTTTATATCCCCTATCTTGGATATTGCCGCTTTGGAGGGTGGGCGCACTGTAGTGGCGACTGCGCGTGGACTCTACTTAATATATCTTGAAACTATGTCTGCAGTGCATGTAGTGCCCAATGTCGCCTTCACACGACTTCTATCTAACGACACAGGTAGTGTTGTGTTTGCCGCAGGAACGGATGGAATTAGCGTGTTTTCTCTAAGACGATAGTTACTAAAGGGAATCCAACTGAACATTTAGCATTATCTTTGCAACTTCACAAAAAGTGGGAAAGATTTCCCTTCATTATCGGACCCTTGTGGCATATAGAATTCCCCCCTACACACACAAAAAAAAAAAAGTACAACCTGAAGGAGTTCCGAAAAGCCTCTGAGAGTCTTCTGTCATCAAATGTTTGTAAAGAAGTCCCTGCAAATTTGCACTCAAGCTCACAAAATACACCAATAATTTAAATAGAACTTCCGTAAACCAAAACAGTGCCGACGTTTCGGAAGGGTCTGAGATTTGTGTAAATCTGATGGACGCTGTCCTTGAGGTTGTTTCCCTATACGGGGGAGGAAAGGGGGTCTTATATGCTGATTGAACTATATATATATCATTAGGGTGTTATGAACACCAATTAGTTTGTTGTTTGAAGCTCCTGCACAGAGCAAAAATCAGCACAGAGTGTTTAAGCTGAGGTACTAATAAAGTTCTATTGACGTTGTGAGAAAATTTTCCTGGCGTAATTCGTTAAAGAACGAGAGCTTTGGTGGTGACCATTCATACCACTATTCATTTGATGTAAAACATCTTATCCATCTAGATCACAGTGTTGTCCGTCCGAATAGGCACAGTATTTATGCCGACCGCGGTTGTGTCTTGTTGTTTACCACAGTTTGACAAAGTGATCTGTACTTTTACACAGTAAAATTGTCAACTAGACACGAGTTCGTAAAATTACCTGACTCCACTGCGACGTGACACTTTACCTAGTTCCGATGGAGGCGAAAGGCTATTGTCCGCATAATCGTTTTCTCATCAGGGGAACCGTAAATAAACTCAGTAAACGACAAACACTATATTGGGCGTAGAAAGGATGCAATTGATGAATAAGTAAAATGATTAAAATATGTGATGAGGTAAAAGATGCAACTTCATTGCTATTATCAATGAAGTTGAAGTAGTTTAGTGATTTCCATAGGCATTTCGTCGACTTTAAACAGTGAGGACAGTTATCGATGGGTTGACGATGAGTACTAATCGTTGTTTTTATTTTCTTACAGTGATAGCAAAGAAGCGACACTTATCCATATATATATAGATCTATATATGCAGCTCAGATGCACACTATCAATAAGTTTAGAAAATAATAATAATAAAAGTGATGCGTTAATTTTCTTAAAAAAAGAGGCATATGGGATAAATGAAGCAATTGTCATTTTATCCTAGCTTAATTCATTTCATATGGGAAAAATATTAAATTACATGAGTAGCTGTTTGGTTATGATATAATACGCCTTTCGAGGAGTTTCTTCGATGCCTTTGCATTTGAAAAACTTAACTTGAAGGATATATCGAGGCATCCCAAGATGAATTTTTTAAAAGATGAATCGATGGATAAGATGTAGCTTAATAACGCTTTGCAGAGTCACTTCACCATATCCTCCATATGTTTTTCTTTTAACGTGTGCGCTTACATTTCCCTTTTCCCCTGTTTTATTTCCCATTTAAGCTAATTATGATACAATATTCAATACTTAATAATTGTTCTGTGGAGTAATAAGCCTCCATTTCTCCTTGATATGTATCTTTTCAGGGAATTCGTGTTGGTTCTTTATTCCTTCCTCTCCACCTCTCCCCCCTCCCCACCATCCGTCTTATTTATTTTACGGTGGGAGAGTGTGTGCCTCGTTTCTACCTTTACTGCTTATCTAGCTGCTAACCACTCCAGGTATTGACAAACTAGAGCAATAGTACAAATAAGTTAGTCCTAGTTTTCTAGGAATGTTTAGTGTACCAAGAAGAGTTGTAGACCTATATGTCGTAAGATCAATGCACAGTGACGCACTGAAGTCGCTTTTTAGTTTTTGCTGCTTCTCACGCCGTTCATATACACCGATATATAAAGCAGACGATGCAACAGATCGCTTAGCTCCGATACGACATACCGATGAGCTTCGGACTCTATGGACGCGCCAAATACCAATCCCATCGCTTGGGCATGCAATTAGGGCTTGGCTACGATTCGGCAATGACCCTGTATTGCATACCGCCTTACCAACCCGCCATTGCTCGGGCTACTTTGGGAGTGAGTTGGAGACAACGAAAAGTGATGAAAAGGTTTTTTCATCACCTTTTGCCTATGTAGAGGACTATATGGGCACAAATTTAGTTCGTGATGATCCGGTACATATTAAAGAAAGTGTTGCTGTCTGGAGAGAATTTTTCGATAAAAAGTTTCTAACACGTCTGAGGCAGTCTCGCCGGACGTCTTTAAACTTTATCGGTCGCTTGAATGGACCAGAAGTTTTCACAGACGAAGCAGACCAGCCAAACACCAGATGGGTGAGCGATACACATTTCCAAGAAATGGCTTACCTTGTTGAAACACATCTGAAGGAGAAGGTCACAAATCCTCTACAACTTGAAGAGATTTTGTGGTACAGGTCGGATGTCAGCGCGTTTCTTGCATTTTTTCTAGCTTACCATCGGGGAACCGCGACCCGCATCCCTATGCCCGTACCATCGGTTTGGGTCTATGAAGGCGATGCTCGTAGGCAGTGGGCAGAAAAGTACTTACCAGTTGCCCACGCCGCACATACTTTTTTTAATCAGGTTCTTGCTGGTGATTTAAAGAAGTTTGATTCGCCGGCTGAACTGCTCAAGAGGGTTGCGTCTGCATTTCGACAAGTTCATGCAGTGCAATTACGCAGACGTGAGCGACAGCAGCGATTAGGTATCTTCTGTGCAAACGGATGGTCTGAGGCAACTGCAGCGGAGAAGGACACGTGGACTGCGAATGAGGTGGAGCGTTGGCAACGAAGCGTTCAGGAAGGGATTTTTGATCCAGAGGACCTCCTCGAGTTATCTGACGTCGATGCAATGAGTGAGTGGTCGAAAGAGAATGAGGCTATTCAAGAAATCCTCGATGCGCGTGTTAAGGACTGTTCCTTTACACTCCAAGATTTCTGGATACACACAATTCGTCGTGAAGCTCTGGAGACAGAGCATATTTTGCTAAACGAGCGATTGTGTGAGATTGACGCAGCTTCCCGACGAGCGCTGTACGACTCCGCCGAGTCCTATCGCTCAATTCTTGACGCGTTGGAAGAAAGCATCGCGAAAGGCTGGCTTGACATGCGCGCGACGGTGTTTCACCCCCACCCGAACTCAGTGTGGTGTGCCCTTCACTACGCGAAGTTTGGCGCTTCCTCAATCGTCCAACACACCCACACGGCTCAACGCCAGCTCCTTTTTCACCACGCCAGCTCTTTGCCGGAGGTCGCAGCGGCCGCCCTGCTGTATTACCGCACCAAACCTCGTAGTGAGCAACTGGACTACGCCTCACCGCGGACGCTACGCCACTCCCTGACGTGGCTCTGCACGACCTACGCGTTGGATCTGACGCGCGCTACGCAGCGACCCATCCTCGCCAGCGCGGACCACCTCGCGAAGGCCGAGGACGTTATTCAACGTCTGGCGCTGCATCTGGCCTGCCCATTCGGGCGGCGCCGCCGCGTCCATCACGCCCAAGCGCGTCAGCGAAACCAACGGCTCCTCCCCCCGCTGACGGCGGTGGTGGTGACCGAAGTCCCGCCGGAGCGTCTCCAGGCCAGTGCGGATGCGGCGGAGGGATCGGCATCCGGGCCGATCGCAACATGGCCGATGGGCTCGCGAAAGGCGGTGTACTACCACTGGGTGACACCTTTCTTAGAAAAGCTTCGCCTGGCGCGGCAGGCTTCGCGCAATTGGGGGAGTCACTCTGAGGGCCTGACCAAAGAACACATGGACGAGTTGCAGTCACTACGTCAACAAGGTGTGCTGGAACTGTCGCTCTGGAGAAAACAAACGCAAACGGAGGTCCAAGCCACAAAGAACCAGGTAGAACATGAAGAAAAGGAACTGATGAAGTTAACAGAGGCAGTCCCAGAGCTCAAAGAGATCGCCGAGTACACCAAAGCGCTTTACACACGACTTAATAGAGAAGAGGTGGCTGTGAACCACACCGCGGAAACGATTTATTCCGCTGAGAACAAAATAGATGAAGATGAGGAATGGGTTTTTGCACTCATGTTGGATGATAAGGCACCTCTCAATGAAGAAGAAGTCCGAGAGGTGTATTTACCCTTTACAAACAGCACTGGGAAAGCGCTGGAGGAGGGCGAGTATCGTGTACGCGTGCGCGCTCGTGACACTGAAACCAACCCCACTGGCCATCCCACGCTGTATAGTGAGGCTTATTCCAATCCCTTTAAGATCAAGGACACTCTTACAGAGCTTCTAGAGGAGTTTGTTCGAATTACCCCCGGCAATAGTTCACATGATGTTGGTGCAAAGTGTCATAGCCAAGATAGGCGCATTTCAGGCGAACATTTAATTGCCCTCTGTCAATTTCTGCGCGAGAAGGGTGGTCTTGACGTTCCTTTGTACTTAGAGTTTGACGTTGGGCAAGGACTGGATGCGAAGGGGACCTTCTCGCTCGAACGGCTCAGTAGGTTGCTCCGGGGAAATGCCTACCACCGAAGCCTGGCGGAGGATGACATCACGGACGTCCAGCGTCATGCGGAGCCGGGGTGTCGTGCGCATTGGGCGCTTTACCACGCCGGCGCCAACGAGGAGGAGTGGTGGTGCGCCCGGCGCGCAGTCTTGGACGAGGCGATGGCGCGGCAACGCGACTGGTGGCTTGAGGATCCGATATTAAAAGTCGTCGATCTCGCCTCCGGAAGCGTGGATGGCAGTTTGATGACTGACTCGTACGCCGCGACGATGCGCTATGGGACGGAGTTGTGCACGATCTTGCAAGCTGATGGAAGCACCCACGAGGATGATCGGCTTCCTGTCGCACCAGGCGTCGTGGATAGGGAATTTCGGGCCGATTGCACGGTGGACGGCACGGGCGGAATCATCTCGCTTTGTTTGGGCGACGGACGACGCACCGCTGCCGAGTCCATTACGATAGATCAGGCGCTCGCCGCTGCCCTGACGGCGACGCAGCGTGCCCAGGATCGACACCGCACCCTAAGCACGTTTAAACTAGGGCCAATGGAAAAGCAGGCCCAAACGCTTAATTTTTGTGGCATCTATTCCAGTGAAATGGGCGGCAAGTACGCGCGGACTTTTTGCTACGCCTTGGGCAAGGCCAAGGAGGAATTGTCAGAGGTAGCGACAGTTGGACGACGCGCCCTCGGCACGGAGGATCTCGACACCGAGCGCCGTTCTGAGCAGACCACGGTGGATCGCTTTGCCTCAGACACTCACCCCGAGCAGCGCAAGAGGCTCTTCAAACCACGCATGACTCTTAGTGGCACCAAGCTGGACGATCCAACGCCGGATCAAACCAGCACCTGGGGACGATAGTCGAACTGATCCAGGAAGCGAAGAGATGGGAGAGGTCTTTATCACTATTAGATCTTGTACCGAAAAGTACAACTTTACGTTAAACTAGGGGTGATTGATTTTTTTCGCTGATTTCAGTCTTTGTAATCCCTTTCCTTTAAACCCATTGCTTGGTGTTTTCGCGGACAAGGACGATATTTAACACCCTATGTCTAATTCTATCTTGATAAAAATACAACATCTTAGAAGCTCCAGATCATGCATGCTGCATTTTTTCTAATTCTTCCTTAACAATGTTGCCTTTTTATTATTCTTTATCGTGATGCTAATTTTATATGAAGTGGTTACTCCAATTCAGTAAAACTTATGAGTTAATGGTCAAAAAAAAATTACATCAGCACTCATGAACATTATCCTTCGGTTATAATTACTGTGACACCGGTGTGTACATGTGAGCTGAAACGGGTAAATGGACATGTTGTATTACTCCTTATAATCCATTAGATAAAAATCAATGCTTATAAAGCTTGTTCACTGGAGATAATACTCAACAAGCGGCGTTTGTGACATCTCACCGTTTGGTTTTCTTATTCCCCAAATAACACAAAATATAGTGTACAAAGGATACAATATAGAATACATACCCCGCTCTCATTTTTTCTAATTTTAAATCAATTTACCATACATAGATGCAACGTTTTAGAGAGCTGTGGCAGAGTGGCCTTGATGCGCGACATATTGATGAACTCATTAATGACTTTTTCCAAGACTTTGCACCCTACGCTGGGGCAGAACACCAACGCATTTCTTTAGTCCGCCAGTACGACACTACGATAAGCACTGCGGTTACCATAGAGGACAGTGGGGATTTAACTTTCCAAACTCAGCACATGCATGTCGGTTCGATGAACTTCGGGACGACGGGAAACTACCAAATCAACGGAGCCCTACGACTGCCACTAGCATTGAATTCTTCTTTTCCCGTCTCTTCCGAAGGAAAACATCACTTACCGACCATCCCTACCACTCCTCAACCCAGGCCAGATTCTGGTCGTCGTTTTTTTTCCTCCACACGTGGGGCACAGTTGATGTATGGAATCAGCCAACGACTTGCACCTTTCACCCCTTCCGCTTTGTGTGAAAATACCTTTGGGCAGGTCGAATGCGATCTGGACATCACGGTACCTTGGAGTGGCCGACATGTGTATGGTGCCCGCTGTGGCCCCCTCTCGGCACGTCTTACGTCTGCTCCGAACCCGTCTAGTAGAACGAACAACAACGAAAATAGAAGCACTTTTATGAGCGGTAGCAATCTCATGGACAAAAACAGTTCATTCTGGAGACGCTCGACGTACACCCTCGACTTTTCTTGTTGTATTCCAATCAACCTATTCGGCGAAACGCAACTTGCTCAAAATTTTGGTGCTTCAACAAACAATAATGCTATGAAACCAATAACTCGACAAGGACATGCCGATGTACAAAGTGATCACAAACTTCAAGGACCAGTAGCATTAACTGTAGGCTTCCGTCAGCACTTCACAGCGGGGGATACGCTTTTGGCTCTTTCCTTTCAAACCGATCGCACTGTAATGAATACTATACAACACAACGGCTGTCCGGAGGGGCTGGATGTGGTGCCTGTACCTCTATCGGTTAAAACTTCTGATGTGGACAGGAGCATCGTAAAAAAACGTGCTAATGACGACAATAATGAGAAGAATAGCGGTGCAGGTGTGTGGAACCTTTTCAGTATCCCAGAGACCGCCGCTCAACTTCTCATTCTGCAAACGCTAGCGACATCGGCAAACCAGGCACTAGACGCAAGCGGTAACCCTACCAATGCGAGTCTCCTTGGGACGTCAGGCTTTAGTACCCACTGGCCGTTGCGCGGTGCGAATCGGTCCAAAAACACATCGAAACCCTGGTACTCACTCCCGACCTTGGTAAGCTGTAATATATCCTTCATGAAGCAGCTGTTTCGTCTAAGCGTGGCTTCCATATTCCATGAGGGGAAGATCGATTTTGAGGCTGCGATGGTGATGGATACGACGCCGTTGGTGCCGAACACCCCGACGCTTTTGAAGTTCGGTTTTAACAACGCCGGTCGGCTGGCTCTCGGGATCACTTCGCTTTTTGGTGACGCGTTGAGCATTACGCTTGGTGCGAATGTCATGCGTGGGAAGGATATGAAATTTGGGCTTGAAGTTAGGGTCTAAACGCGGTTTACGATCAACCATCCTGACTGAAGAAGTGGCTACGCTTTTGTTGTGATGGTAGAAACTGTATTGTTTTGGTTTAGGCGTATCAAAAGGATTCGGATCAGTTTTTTTAGTTTTATGATGTTGGTGTGAGTAGAGGGATTTTATTTTAGAGAAAAAATTCGACTTATTTCTCCTGTGGTCTCACGTCTGCAGGATTTGAATAAATTATAGAATGAAAATAGGAAATGCAGGTGTAGCCTTTCGAATGAAATCGTATTCTTGTTCAATCGTATTGTTATTTCTTTGAAGCGTTATAGCGCATCCTTCCGATGAACTGCTAGATTTAACTAGCTATGAAAGATAACGAATCATAAGGAATTTACATTTTTTGTGTGTAGTAGTATTTTATAAAAATCCACACTTATGTTTTGTTTTTACGCCTTCTGTCTATTTATATCAGAGTTCCCTTTTTATTCCTTTTCATCATAGTTTGTAGAAATTATCTGATTTCATCTTTTTTTAGGTATTGTTATTCTCATAACCTTAAACTTTGTGGACACATTTTCATTTTGCTAATCTTCTATTACTTTTACTTTATTGCGCTTAAATTGATTTCATATAATATTAGATTAAATTTATCTAACTGTGTGGGCTTCTTTTGCACGAAAAAAAAAGAGTCTAGTATAATTACATGGCAAAAATGATTGGGCATGGAGTTTATGGAGCTAGAAATAGTATAAATCACCACAAGAGCAATCGAAGAGACTACACGTATTTCCTAAAGACATTGAGAAGTCCCACTACATTCAGTTTTTTTCATGAAAAATTCTGTAAACTCATCCCTAGACAAGGTTCCTCTGTTCCTCGAAAGAGAAGGCATAAAGCAGGTTCTGGAATAGCGGAAAGGGTGGCTTTCTTGAAAATGATATTTTGTATCTCAGGCATATACATTTGCTTTTCTTTGTGGTCTATCAAACAAGAGCGTCTTATGACAAAATCGTATGCGCGTTACCTCCCTGAAGAGAAGCGGTGGGAAAATGAGATGTTTCCTTCAGTTCTTGGGGTGGGGTTTTGTCAATCTCTTTCTGGGGTTGTGTGCGCCGCTTTATTGATATTTGTGCAATCGATGTTTTCGACTAAGAAATCCATTACCATCAAACCCTCCATTTCAGAGGCTAATGATGTGAAAAAAAGAGAATCTCAGAGTAACTCTGTCCATTCGTCACAATCTAGCTTACCGGAAGCTAGATTCCTGAAGCTGAGGGATCTCCAGCATATCCTTACCATTGGTTTCTTTGGAGTCATCAGTACGGCCTTTGGGTACTTCTCTATGCGAATGTTACCTTATCCAGTTGTTTTGGCAGCTAAGATGTCAAAAATGTTACCTGTGATAGTGGTAGGCTTTCTCTGGCATGGTACACACTATTCTACCGATAAAATCGCATCTTGTTTTCTAATTACAATTGGCATATTCTGCTTCTACTTTACCGAAGGGCAATCGGAGAAGAAGAAGGTAGTACGTTTAAACTTTAACTCATCTAAAGCAGCTAACACATATGAAGATGGAGATACTTCGAGTTTTTTCCTTTTGAGCGAGATTGGTTTTGCACTTTTGTTTTGCAGTCTTATTCTGGATGGATTTATCAGCTCTACACAAGACGTGCTTATAAAGAAACGGAAGTGGACTGGGCGGAAACTCATGCTGTGCGGAAACCTTTCTTCAGCCTTATGGACACTCGCATTGATGCTGCTTTTAGAGTTCGCCGAGCCGTTGAGCGTAGTCGGTTCTTCTGTCATAAGTGTCTTTCCTCTCGGCAGGTTTGTTGCACCATTTGGGGGTTCTGTATTGCAACACTACAGGCACCATTTTATGTCTATCAGAAATACACTTGCAGTGCTTCCTGTCCCTTTTCATGAGTTATCCAAGACAATTCGATTTTTAAAAGCGTATCCTCAGGCGCAGTTTGATCTTTTTCTCATAGGATTTCTCAATGGATTTGGACAACTGTTTGTGTTCTACACCATTTTTCTCTTTGGTACCCTCACTCTGACTGCTATGACCGTGACACGCAAAGCAGGCAGCGTGCTATTGTCGATTATAGTGTATGGGCATTCTGTAGGTCGTCTACAATGGCTGGCACTCGTTATTATCATAATGGGTGTGATCTTGGAAGGCTTTTTGAGTATTAAAACTGCTTCATCCAAAGATTTAGATCCTACTGATTCGAAGAAAAATACGGGAGGAGAGGGAAGGAATGTGCGCTCCGAGTAAAGTATTTTTTATTTAAAAGGGGTACTCTTTGAGAAACTCATGAACTATGTTTTCATTTCAGAAACCATATACCTGAAACGTTAAACCTTGTGTCCTTTGTAGAGGATGAGTGGAATTAAAAAAAAAAAGTATTTCAAAAATGTGTTTTAGATTATCCCCTGGTCTTCGGTACGTAGCTGATGCTATTATTTACATTTTCCTGCTCATTTACCCATTATGAGTGTCTGTAAATAAATTTATTTGACATCACATAATGGAAATGAGAAATATGGCAATAAACCTTCAAGATGTATCCATGCATTTTGCATAAATAGTTCTTGACCGCTCAAGTGTCTGTGTGTATGGGTATGTGTCTAGTCATACAAATTTCATAAAATATATGCTTAAGTGATGCTCCCCAATTCTTTATTTTCGTTCTCGAATCTCGTGATTGGATTTTCCTATTTTATTATTTGTTCATCTTTGAAATTTTACCCTTTCAAAGCGGACACCTCACTCCAACCAGCACACTAAAAAGTGACATAAAGGGTAAAAAAGAGGAAGTCTTGCATAGACCACATTTTTTTTTTCTTATTACAAATATGCAATCTCAACAAAAGGCTGGCTTCTCGGAACGCATGATAACCCTACTTCGTCACCGAACAGAGAAGAAACCCCTACCAAAGGACTATATGCGTTGTCCGTTTAACGCCGAGCACAAAGTCCCCATTGCATCCATCGTCACGCACATTGAAAAGGCTCACAACGGAGATGCCCTTGGACTTGTTGAAGATGCCATGTACTCTCGTGGGACAAAAATGCGTCTGGACGCGTTTTTTGAGCATCAAGAACTTAGCTATCGATCTTGTGCAAGGGATTCCTCTTCTACGACTGACTCATCCTTTTCGTCAAACTCATCTTCCTATTCCGTTTCTTCACAAAGTAAGGTCAAAAGTCTAGACCAAAAGGGCCTCGGCCATAATGCTAACGATAAAGATAATTCTAGGTCACGCCACTTTCATCAGATTAGGACCATCAGCGATGAAACAGTGCAACCGCCTAATTTCCACAGCGTCTGCACGCCGGCACATGTGTATCCTCATCACAGCCCTGAATATTCGCATGACTACCCTGAACAGGGTTCCCGCAGAAACAAAGCGTCTATTTTCCCCACTCCTCCATGCCCTGCCGAAATGAAGCGACCTCGATCGACAAATGGATTGTGCCATACAATCACTCCTTTCCAATCTCCAACCGATATGACTTCCCCACACCATGCGATCTTACCCGATTCCCCCTCTGTTCACCGTTACCCTGAAAAGAAGGATCGATATATTCCCCTTCGACAGCAGTACCTGTATGGGGTACCTGACCTACAGTCTAAACACAAACTCCATGTTCAACCTCAAACACCGGCTTTATCATCGGGAAGGCCAATGGGATTGTCTGCCAAGTCCTGCGAGGCCGTGACCACCCCAACTGTGCAGCTCGAAACATCACCAGGTGCAACAGGTTCACCATCCTCAACCTTGAAAATGGGGATGAATGAACGCGTGCCGGATGGCGTGGGTACACCTTCCGAGGTAGGGACAACGGGCCTCCTATCCCTGTCTTCACAGTCACGGCAACAAGAAGACATGTGGCGCGCGCGCGCTATTATCTTAGAGCATCGTGCCATCCAATCCCAGTTAAACCACATGGTAAACAACGACAAACAAGAGAATGTTGCTACCACAGCTGCTCAGGGGGTAGAAGTTGGGGGACCTGGTGGCGACGAAATGTGGGATTTATGGCGTCTTCTTTATCCTCATGTGGTGACCAATTCTCCATCTGTTGCATTTTCCAATGTCCATGGAGAACCGAGCCCAGACTCACGGGAGAGTACCTATGGAATCAACAAGATACCTATCACAGATTTTATATATTATTCACCTCGAGTGGTACTAATAATGGAAAGCGAAAACATAAAGACTGCGTTTCTGAAAAGCTTAAAAACTGACCCTGTGTTGATGGCTAAATATAAGGTTTTTAATGAAACCCCAGTTTAGGGGGTGATAGTAATTCAAAAAGTGTCACGAAGAATAGTTCGTTAAAGTCAGGATGCTAGTAAATATATTTTATCACTCGATGTTAACATGGGTGATTAAAAGGTAATACTTTGCTTATATAATCTTCTTCATTCATTATTTATATATCCCGCTGTGTCTTTTTCAGCGTGTGAGGTAACTTTCTCTTTTCTCTTTTTAAAGAATTTTTTTGAGCTAGCTTTACTGACTAAAGCAAGTGGCTCAATATATATATATATATTACTAACAAGAACTCAAAAGGGATTTACATAGTCAATCAACATCAAAAAATCAAAGTGTAACAGAAGAAAAGGAACAAGTAGCTTATGGAGCATAACAATGGAAATGAGGTCACTGTAAGTGAAATGAAGGCTCTTCTTGCAGAGCTTCAAGACATTGATGCTGAAGTGGAAACCACCTCCATGGGTCTGCCCAGAGGGAATATAAATAGTGGACTTAAACCAACAACACAACAGTCCCACAGTTGGCAAAAGCATGGCTTTTTGTCTAACATTCCTAAACCTTTGAACAGCCAGATTCTTTCTAAAGATGAGGGAAATTTGTCGGGACAAGCTGTGCCTGAACATAAACTTTCCTCAATAGCGAACGTTACTAATACACCCGGGTTTTCTACCTACACTACTACTTCAGGTGGCGGTAGAGGATTGAGCGAACAAACCAAGAGACACACACCAATTCCTCTGGGCATTCGTTTGGCTCCGATTGATTCTCCAGGCGATAATTCAAATCCTGATAGCCAGTCAATACAAAAATTGTCCAGCTATAACTCGAGGTTATCCCCAACTGCACTCCCTGGTGCACTTAATGTCTTGCCACCTCTTTCGACCGGGGATGCGATCCTTACTTCTCCACTGACTATGCAGAACCCACCTACTGATACGGGAAAATCCCCTCTTCGATTTCATGGGAGTCAACCATACGTGACCGAAACGGATAAGTTGGCACAGGAACTTCACCACTCTGTCTCAGCCGATGAAAAGCAGCACAACTCACCCCCTTCGGACAACTACAACTATCAAGCAAACTTCCTTCCGATTATGTGCGCACTCCATTTAACCCAGGTTGGGCTGAAGCCACAACCGCGCTGGGGTCATACCCTCACCGTGGTAGACGACGAGAAACTTTTTATGTTTGGTGGGATGGAGGCAACTAGTGCAGAGAGCTGCGCGTTGATGGTATTCGACACCAGCTCCAGTGAATGGGGACCGGTCTACCTGCTGAACAAAAGCAGCGCCACGAAGATGTCGTCACCTCCGGCCACGCGGTATCACCACGCGGCGTGTGCTTATGAAGGTCACTGTTTGATCATCTATGGTGGTGCCGCGGTCCACGACCACCTGATTTACAATGACATTTACATGTATAATACCTTGACTTCCTCATGGAAATGCCTATGGCAAGGCCCACCTTCAGAAACCGATAAAGGCCAGGGTGATGGTAATAATATCAACTCTAAAAAACTCAAGAAAAACGAGCCTGCCGCGCGTTTTGGGCATTCCATGGTAGTCCGTGAAGATAGACTTTACGTCTTTGGCGGCAAAGTTGTAGATCAGGAAGGCGTGACAACAACGAACAGCACAGATGTGTACGTCTTCTCAGTGAGCTCATGTTGTTGGAAAAAGCGTATCAGACTGAACAAAGTGACTACATGTGCCTCTCCGGACACACAATCGCCGAGGGAACTTAACACTACGATATCAGGGAGCACTTGCCTGAATGAGAAAGCCGGTAAAGCCAGTAACCCGGAAAATCGGATAGGTGAGTTGAAATCGAATTCCGTTAGAAACACACTTTGTGCTCGAGCTTACCACGCGGCAACTGTAAAAGGTGATAACATGTATATCAACGGTGGCTCCGGGGAGGATGGAAACATTTTAAGTGACACCTGGCAGTTGAACCTAAGGACGGGTATGTGGACTTGTCTTCATAACGGCGATACCGGCGGCGCGATCCCTAGGGAACGGCACTCCGTTTTCACCTGTGGTGAGGCTATCATGGTAATTGGCGGATGTAGTTCGAGTTCCCAGAGTGCAAGTATCGTGACAAGGTTTGCCCAGTTCGTGTCGGTATTACCCCTGCTAGGCCAAGCCACCCCCTGTTGGATTCCTGTGGCGATAGGAAATGCCTCCATCATTGCTCCCAACAAGAAAAACTTTGCTGCTGCATTTTGTGGCGGATTTGTATACGTTTTTGGTGGCACCTGCGGATCGGAGTCTAGCAGCAACAGCATGGTACGTTTTCTTGCTACTGACGGGTACGCATCCGAGGACGGCAAAGATGCGGTCGCCGATGGCGATGAATCACTACGCTGTATGATGCAAAATATTCAAGAGAAAGGTAGCTTCACGGTGCCATATGACGTGCTGTCTGTCGCCGACATCGCAGGCGGTGATACAGAGGAATATGAAAATAGAGACAGTGAAGATACGAACAGGGAGTCGCTGCGAGGGTCGCCGGGCGGTCTGGACAACCGATACCAAGTTGGTTTCCATCGCGTAATACTGCAACAACGGTCACCAAAGTTTTTGGACTGCCTCATGGCATGCCGTTCAGAGTTTGTGGTGCCTGCCACTAAAAAAGATACTCTGTCCCGCCGCAGATTATCACAAGTGCAGCAGCCATACAACGACGATTCCATAGGTGGCGATAACGAAATGAGTGGCGGGGCCAGCTCTGAGGCTGGGGATGCGGTGGACGCACTTTTGCTACAGAATAATACTCAATACAAAGGACCCTCTCATTGTGTTTCTGCTACCGGATGCTCCACAGATGGCGTACCGAATGATCCAACGGCTGGGGGGATGACACCTGTTGTTCCCAATGGCATAGTCTACTATGTACAGGGGAACAAACGTGTTAAGGGGTTGCCACACCCTCTTACTGCTGAGGAGCTTCGATGCTTGGCTAATTACATTTACTGGGGTGGTCTTAAAGCGAAGTTTCGGATTCTGCTGAAAGACGACGATGATGATGGTGCTCGAACGAAGGGCGCTTCTGTTGATGTTACCGAGCGGCAGAGGCTGCGTTCGATCCTCATCTCCCTCCGAACTGCAGCAGACGACTACGATTTGGAACCGCTGCGTGAACTAACGGACGCGCTTCTTGAGGGCGATCGGCACCGATTGCATGAGGCACGTCAACACAGTGCATGTGCCCTCCGCAATGACATGCTGCAACTCCTTAATTTGGGGAAGGGTGCGACCGTAACTGTCCTCTTCGTTGACCCACATACCAAGCAGAAAAAAGCGCATGCCTTGCACCCAGTTGTGCTGGCCAGCTCTAGTAATTTCTTTGAACAGCTACTTCGACCTTTGTTCAAGGAGGGAAGGACTAAGACTAATGTAGACGGTGTAGTGGCCAAATTGTCAGGTTCAGATGCTTCTATTTTACGAAAGCGGCTGCAGCAAGAGGAGCAGGGAAACTATACAGGCCCGACGGATGCCCAATTAACTTCGAAAGCAAACCCTTTGTCTTCTTCAAAGACTTCAATCGTGCTCGGTCCCTTGTCTGTTCCCTTTCCTGCTATACAAATTCTGTTGCGTTACCTTTACACGAAACAACTTCATGTGCCTCAGCAGTTGGCTCTTGAGACGATGATGGGTGCCCACCAGCTGCGCCTTTCACTGTTCAGGGCCCACTGCGAGGCCATCGTGGGACGATCGGACGTCAACTACAAAAGCTGCTGTTCATTTTATTTCCTTTCAAAGCGGTACAATGCTTCGCTGTTGCAAGAGATGGCATTGTTAACGGCAGTCTCCGGATACTCCAAAGTGCGATCCGAAGCAGCGTTTCGTGACTTGCCAGAGGAATGTCGTAAAGTTATTGATACCGTTTCAATGGAACTCGGGTCAGACACCTGGGTGCCACCGCAGAAACCAGGACAAGAGATCAAACCCTTCAATGAGTACACTTCCCGGTGGAATGCAATTTCTCATTCATGAGATTTAACTGAAATAGGAACATAGGTGTAAATAGATATATTTATACACATATATATATATATATATATATATATTCATCCATCTTCACTCATACGCAATAAATGTAGACTCACGTATATACGTGTACAGGTCATGGCGGATTTTTTTTTTACACTGATATATTACATTTCTATGTATTATACGCACATTTATTCACCACGTATGCAATCACGAAAGAATGCTAAAATTGTAGGTTATTTATATGTTTGGTATATCTTTTCTATTTCCTGAACAATAACCTTCATTAATCTAGTGACATTTAGGTCACTGTCTACAGGGCAGGAGACAGTGGTAAAATCATCAAAAAGGGACAACTGCGGAAAAGATACTTGGGCCCAACATAGTAGAAAAATAGTGAAAATATACACAGTTGTTGTTGTTTTTGATCTGCGAAGCAAAATCAATAGGAGGAAAAACATTCATATAATTTTATTGTAAATGTTTTCCATTGATCATAATTTCTACACTAGTTTGGTTGTGCAATTTTTTTATTCCAAACTATTCTGTAGAGAAGGGAAGGAAAGAATGAAAAAACGAAAGCTTTTTTTTTTTGATATATGCTTTACGATATATATTTATTGAACGAACATTGAATTTATTTTCAACTTGTAGTATCAATTAAAACAAATCAGCAAGAGGATTTAGTTGCGTCTGAAAATGAGGCGTGTAGGTTGAAAATGATTTTCTTTATCAAGGAGTAAAGCGTGCACGACTCTTTACTTTACCATCTTTTTATTATTCAAAAAAAAAAGGGAGGGATGGGGAGGCTAAGGAGGTATAAAATACTCACTTTATAGAACAAGGGAGTGAGTTCTTTCTTTCCACGATTTACTTATTGATATATAACCAACAAACGCAAAACTGACCGACATAGAAAAGTGAAGTAAATAGCAAAGGAGGTGGGCACCCTATTTGTTGAATCTTCTTCCGACATTCTAAACGAAAATGTTGCGCCATTCATGGATCATTAGAGAACTTCAGAGCAGCATCAATATCGGACGTTTGCGCCTCGCACAGCAGTTTCAGTCGATGGACGGCTGGCAAGCGAACCAATGTGATCGCTTCGACAACTACATCAAAGGTAAAAGGGTAAAAGAATACTACGATTGCTTTGATCAACGTGTCGAACGGGCGTACCGGGTCGCAGTCAAAGCCCATAAGGTAGAAGTTTTAAATGCTTTCAAGCGGAAACTCACGAGCAGCCACGACAAGTTCACCGCGGGAACGATGCTCGAGATGCAAAAAGCGATTGAGGAACGTCAGAGTTGGCTGCGCGATGTTTGGGCTCAGGTTGACGCCGATTATCGAAGTGATGACCCTGCTCGTCAGGAACTGGCGGCAAAGGAAATATCCGCGGCCCTCCACGGCGAGCCAAGTGATTATATGCGATGGGTGTATGAACTCAAGCGTGAGGAGCGTTTCGTAGGCCCTAAACAAAAAGCCTCAATGCTTGCAGAGATGGCTCACGCGGGGCTTCCCGAGGTTTCTGATGAGGAAATCAACCGCTATCATAACCTTAAGCTTGACATGTCGGATATTGAGCGAAATGTAAAGCTTCGATACGGCACCGCTGGCCTACAACATTGGGCGGAGCTTCAGGCTGCCAAAGACGATCTTTATGAGAATAAACTGGATGACGCTGCCAAAGTCTATCACGAGTTGTTAGATCAGAACGATCGATATGACGAGAGTCGCCGCACTGCACTCGTGCGGAGCCATGTGGAGCGTATGCATCAAGCCCAAGTTCGCTTCAAAGCCGCCATGGCTCTTGAGGAGGAGCGCGATAAACTAATAGAGGCCCATCAAACCATGGAGAACGAGCGAATGCAAATCGCTAAGGAAGAACGCATTGCGCTTTTGAAGGAAGCTGCCGAGTTAAAGCAGCAAGGCGTGTCAAACAAGGAGATTGAAATGCGAATGCGGGTGCGGCAACTGGATCTACATGCCCGACGACAGGCCGAGTACCAGCTCAAGGAGCAGGAAGACATCCGCACCAAGAAGGAAAAGTATCTTCAATACATTGAGAACTTTAAGACAAGTGTGGAAGAGCGTGAAGGGCTCGAGCTTTTGCGTCAACCGGACACAACTTCGGACAACGCACGAAAGAATGTCTTTGGGTTTGTCGACGAGGATTCTCTAAGCAATGGTGAAACCGATATCGCTTCTGCACTTCAAGAGCGCATCACGGTAAAGAACGACTCTACTTTATTCAGCAAACACGGAGCGTCATTACCATCTGCCTCAGCTTCACAGCTCTCACCGTTCGTTAAGCGTCGTGATTTATCACAGAAGGACGTTCTATGGAAGGCGATATCGGCCGACACCTACGAAAGTCCTTTCCCAGCTGTCCACCAGGCCCGATTAGATGCATCGAAGGCTTACGATGGACTGTATGAAAAATTTTACCCGTTAAATCTCGTGCAGGGCAAGCGGTACAGCAAACAAGATGAGGGTGAATACGCAGCGGGCAATGGTATGGATGGAATGATCTTCAAAGGCGGCAGTAAGCCTGAGCGTAGCCTTGCATGGGGTGTTAGTCCATCCGTGGTGCATGACCTTGACCGCGACGGGAACACCGACTATTTCTTTGACGGAACATGGCATGTTCGGGATAAGGAAACTAGCGATATCGACTGGCGTTATGAGAAAAAAAAAGGCGGTCCGGTATTTCGCGGACCGCGCTTCTATAAAATCGGCGCCAAACGTGAGGCAAATGATCCAGGTTCAGCTAGTATGGATTCAGCACCATTCCAGAGAAGTGCGGGGGGGGTTCGAAGTGACAATAGTGGTCCAGCCCCGCGAAGGGCACATTTCAAACGTGCTTCTTCAGACGTATCGCCATCTAGGCGCAGCTCGTCGCTCGAAGGCTTGCGTAGCAGTTAAGAAAGTTTATCAAAAAAAAATAGTGACCGTTAAAGCAATATAAAAGGAGGACAGCATCTTGTTTTTGATATTTTTTTTCCTGTAGATAGTATTGCAGCAACTATCGATCTGGTCCTTGCTTGTTATTTTCATTTGGTTGACTTCACTTTGTACTTATCATATAAGTACATGCACTCTCATATCGAGAGAACTTATAGTTTAACTAAAAAATAACAACATAGAAAACAGCGAACTGTTATATGAAGACATGGAAATAACAAGATTCTTTTTTTTTTCCCCTAGGGTTTATTTTTACTATGGACGTTTCCCCTCTTAAACCTTCACTGAACGATTTTGTTTAGTTAATCGAGACTGACTTTTATTTCTATTCCACGAAAAGTATATATTAAGTCGTACACAAAAAATAAATCCCCTAAGCTAAAAAAAAAGGGTTTACTATTACATCTCACAGGATTTATTTCCATTTTTTATTTGTTGATTGGCTTTGTGGTGTAGATCTTTATTTCTTTTGCAACTACCTCTAATTTTTTTCCTACAGCGCCGCACCGCCTCAGGCTATTAATTTTTTCTCTTTAGATAAATGCAAGCAGTCATACAGCTAAAATAGCGTGATTTGTAAATATTAAACAATATCTCATCTCCCCTAAAATAAAAGGACATAGGACATGTCGAAATTAATAAACAAATTCAATATGCCCAATAGTTTCGTGAATGAGGGAAGTAATGGTGATCCCTCTTGTAGATACAAGCTGGAAAATTCTATAATAATTCTAGAGCGTACAAACAGTGGAATATTAGAGCACTACAACAAATTTACTGAACTATCGCCTAGACCAAACAGCACTAATGAAGGCAATATGGAGAGAGAGGAGATTGTCCTGAGCATCGATGAGAGTTCTCCATCTATGTCTAGTACTTCTCTCCCTACGAAGTCCATCAAGCAGACACAGGATGTGGGAGAGGCAGGACCCATAGAGCATATGATTTCTGAACCAAAAGTCGGTATTACCCAACGACGACTCAATCTTTTTTATTTTATATGGCTTAAGCTTATCTATGCGTACGACTCTGGCGCGTTTAGCGCCGCAGTCGGTGTTCAGAATGGAATCGTGGATGAATGGAAACTCTCTACCACCGAGCAAGGCGTATTAATCTCAAGTGTTTTCCTCGGTACTGTTATTGGCTGCTTGTTCTCAGGGCACTTGTTTTCAATATACAATCAAAAGAAAGTTCTTATCCTATCACTAATATTTCACACTATCGCGACCTTTTTGTTTGCCCTGCTTCCATTTTTTTATCAGGGGATTGTAACTCGTTTCCTTTTGGGAATCACCCTGTCGTTTATTGTGGTCTACGTGCCTGTGTGGGTTGAAGAATTTGCACCGAAGGGCAGCGAAAGCATGTGGATGGGTTCGCATAATGTTGCCGTACCTATAGGGGTGATTTTGGGTTATCTAGTGTGTGTTTACTTCGCGTCGCATGAGAAAATAGGATGGGAGGGTGCTTTTTACGTGAAATGCCTCCTTATGCTTCCTACTATTCTGTGTCTAACGCACCTAGACTCACAATTCATCAATGCCAGTCAGGTTTCTACTCAAAACAATGATTCCCACACGATCAATTCTATGTTGGTCGATTTACATGCGCCTCCCACGGCTCATCCTAACTTCGATAATACAACCACAAGCACCTCCCAGTATGAAAAGATAGTAAACTATTTTCACCAGCGCTTTGACATCATCTGGAAAGTGGTGCATCCTTTGCTTTGCAATACTGTATTCATGCTGAGCGTATTTATTATGTGCATTATGTACTTTATTGCGACGGGGCTGCAGAACTTCTTAACTCAATACCTGCGGGAGGATCCGTTTAATGCATCCATGACGACCATCACGATTGGTTTTGGGATCAGCATCCTAACCGCACCGGTACTGGGGGTCATCCTCGGTGCCATCTTGCTCGATTTCTGTGGGGGGTATAGTGATGACCTATTTCGTGTAGGGGTTTTTGGTTTATGTTGGAGCATCCCCGGGTCGTTTTTTTCGACGTTGTGTATATTTCTGACAGAGCCGGTGTCTTTCATCGTATTTGTCGCCCTCATGCTCTTCTGCGGTGGTGCCGCCATTCCATTTGCGACCGGCCTCACCATGTGCTCCCTGCCCGAGCACTTGCGTCCGGCCGGTGCGGCCTTTTCACAAATTGTGTATAACCTTTTCGGGAACTTTAGTGGTCCTATAGTGTGCAGTGTGGTGACTGAACTCTCTGGGGGGCTCAACTACGGCGTCATGACGTTACTCTTAACTACTAATGTGGAGGTTATTCTGATTCTAATCCTCTTTTCCATCGCGGTGAAAAAGAAGAATAACGAAAAGGCAACATCATTTGGCGTCGTCGTCATTGACAGCGCAAATGATGCGTCTCCAGACTCGACGTTTGCCCCTAGTAGCAATAAGGTCAGGGTATGGAAATAATTTAAAAGAATCCACTCCGTATGCTGTGATGCCCAAGCAGGAACCCGGCGAAGGCGCATTATAACTTTGGTAGAAATCTACAGTGTAAACTCAAATTATATACTTTTCGTCAACCAAGGAGATCACGAATGTAATTTGAAGGTATTGGTTTATTAGATATTGCTAGTCAAGACAAACCGATGTGGACTTATCAATAAGGATTTGCTTTCATTTTCTTCCGACGTTGCGCCGCTTCTAGCTAGAAATCCCCATACCCATTGTGGTTTACAAATAACAAGGCTTAATCTAATACTAAACAGTATTAGTAGCATCAATAATCTGAAAGAGGAAGAGGAATTGGTGTGGGGCCCAGCGCAGCCTTTATCCTACGTTCATCTTATATAGTAAAGAGAATCGAAGACAGGTGGAAGGATCCTTTAATGTAAATTTTGACTCTACTTCTTCGTCCCCCTCCCTATTTTGATTCATTTTACGGGAAGTTAAAGATACCCATAGGCACAAAAGTGGCACTTTTATCAACAATAAATGAGGGGTTTCCCCATCTTTTTTTATTATTATTATAGGTGAATGAATTCAATGTGTGTAGTAATTTCTTTGTTTAATCCTACCATGTGGGTTTCACATATATGTAAAGCCCGTTATACATTCTGTAGGAACCTCTTTGATAACAATTAAGGATATCTTATAGATTTCCTATTGGAGTAATTTCTTAGTAATAACATTTAATAATGCCAACAATAGTGACAAACTAAATAATATTTGACTTGTTTCCAAATATTTGCATTAAAGAATATAAATTATATATTATCTTTTATTTATTTGCGATCAAGCATATCCACTCTTTCTCGTAATGTAACCCATTGAGAAATGCCAGTTGGTTAACTTTTTTTTTTACTAGTTACATATAAATAAACAATCAATGCATTCATTTAATTATACAATGATCATCTATAATACTTCGTAGTATTATGTACACCAAAAGAGGATATCGAAGTGCAAGTCTGAACTTTCATTTTTAGTTTCTTTAAATGATTTTTTTCTTGTCATTGAACCTTCTGACTCTTTTTGTTAATCCAAAATTTATGCTTCTTTAAAGAAGTATTTTTCTTGATAATGCCAAAAAAACAAGTTGACATGTTGCTTTCAAAGTAATTACTAAATATTATTTCAGATTTCTTTGAAATTTAAAACATTAAAAAACTTCAAAGGACGTAAAATAGTTCTGAAACGTTGGAAAAGGACAGATTGGGTGAAATAATTGCGGTAACAACAATCTCGTTGGTCTACTCACCCAGCTGGGATATAAATAAAAGTCAAATAATCAATGTTCTTTATGTATCTCTTATCTTAGTCTAAGATTGCGTTTGCTCAAAGAAAATATTTTGCTAAACCTAATTCCTTTTAAGTGCATGGGACAATTTATTAGGAAACTAATATACAAATCAAATAGCCTATTATATAATATCTTGCTTTTCACTTTTATGCATTATACCTGTAAACACTAGCATGAAATATGCAATATTTATTTATTATTTAATATTGTCATACAGTATCAAATTTACTGGTTTGTCCTTAGTATTTCTTTCTAATTTGTTAAATTGCTTCACGCACCTTTCTTGCTAGGAGTTAACTTACTAAGGTTCTTTTGATTCTATAATTAAACACAACTAACGAGAAAGGGATAATATGACTAGCGTTTCACCTTCTGAAACCGGTGGAACCCTTATCACGTTTCTACAGCAGCTCCGGGGCACATTGGTTGAGATTGAGCTCAAAAACTCTTCGATTGTGTCGGGCGAGATTAGCTTTGTTGATGCCAAGATGAATACCTATTTAAGACATGCCAAGATTACGGCAAAAGGAAAAAACCCTGTGGAGTCAGAAGAATACATGGTGCGCGGTAGCACTATTCGCTACGTTATTATGCCTGAATCCCTAAATACATATGATGTGCTCAAGAATGCGGCTGTAGCGGGGAAAAAGAAAGGTTCTGAAGCAGTAAAGAAAGAAGCACTTAAAAATGGCACAAAACGACAAAGAAATGAGTAGATAAGAGAGAGAGGGAGAGGGAGAGGAGGAGGGAGAGTAATGTGTGCCCAGCAGAAAGATCGTTGATGTTCAAATTTCAGTGGATATGGGATATTTTCTGCTGGTAGATTCTAGCGAAAAATCTCTCAAACACAAGCGAGTAAAAACGAACAACATATCCTCCCTCCCCTCTCCATCTTTTTAGAGATTTTACAGGACGAAATATTCTCTCTTCGAATGGTGTAGGAAGTAAAAAAAGGTGTCCGTACACATTTACGAGAATAGGTTTGGTAGTGAAGGGTAATCGAATGACTTTTAAAAGTGTAAGTCTCAAGATTATTTGTCCTTTCTCTTCATTTTGGGTATAACCCACCGAAATATTTTTGATAGGGATTTGTACAATTAAACATATTTCTATTATTATTGCTTTTCTTTTCCATCCTTTTTTTTACTATCAACTACGGGTAACAAAAAGCTGAAATAAAAATCACCAATCCCATTCATTTAGATCATAGACGTATACAGAATAACCTATAAACATTAGTATTGTGTAACTCACCTATTTCGTTTTATCGATTGACCGTGCATAGAATTCTTTTAACATTAATCCAATTTCAAAGATAATTGTCCTGATACGTCGGTAGGGCCCATAAGCAAGCTCCATTACCTTGCGAATTACTCTATTTAATTTTTATGTCTGCTGAAGCTAAACTTAACTCGGGTGGTGATCGAAATCATGGGAGAGGAGCAGATGCCTATAATAATAGACGATGTATATTCCAAAGCATGCAGTACCGCATGCAAACCCGCGAGGATCTTGGTAATCGGTTTAAAACGTCGCTAAATTTTCCGTCTTCTTCTGAGTTGTTACCCTTTAATGGCTGCCGCTGCCATTGTTGTACAGATTGCACTTCCTCTAGTGCACAAAAATTCCCAAGGAGGGTCCACGCTTGGGCCTCTTCTTCCGATGCATTGCGTGAACTAGGGGATGTCCCGATGAAGATTTCACAGCAGCCCGCACTATGGGACACGGGTCTTTGGCAGACTCTGTTAAATTTGACAAAACGTCGAGAAGTCGACATTACTGGTGGGCAAACTTCCATGCGTTCGGTCAACGTTAGGGAGGAAAACACTACAAAGGAATCGATAGTCCACCTTTGTTGTCATTGTCACCGCTGTTGTCACTCCGTGAGTTCGAGACCTTGTCCAAAAGAGACTAAAAAGATGGAAAAGAAAACGAAAAGAAAAGCTGAGTCCAATAAAACCGAATCCGAAGGAGGCGAAAGCCGAAGTAAATATAATCAAAAGGATAGCTATGGATTCGAATCGTGGATTGGTAGGCCACCTTCGAGGTCCCAAGAAATACTCAATAATATTGTAGCCCAAAACATGTTGCAGCGGCTAGAAAAGGAAAAAGCCGCACTCGCCGAACTTGTTGCGAAGTCAGAGGCCGCGCGGGTTGCCACAACGGAGAAAGCCGAAACCAAGCCTGCTTATAACCCAACGATCCTGGTGCAGTGTTGCGGTGGGAGAGTTTCACGTGCCCAGGAGGACGCCACCGCCGAGACGACCAAGGACAACGACTCTTCTCCACCATTTCCAGTACCTGCTACGAAAACCCCGGTGGCTCCAGCTGAGCAACTTCCTTCTCCCGCGGCAGATGTACCCGCTCTACTGCCTGCAGCGAAGGAATCCTTACCCCAACCCGCGGAGTCCGCACCATCCACCACGAAGCCCACGGTCGCGGGAGATGAGAAAACCACACCGGATGCACCCCCTCCGCGGCTTGCACCCTCACCTGCGGAGGAGCAGGAACGAATACTGCTGGAACGCGCCAACCAATATGTGATAACCCTCGAGCGGGAGGTGGGGCACCGTAGCAAACACCTCGACTTTGCCGTGGTGCAGCTTGCCGAGGAGGAGGCCCTGAACATGAAGCTCCGTCACGACCGTAATGCCCTGCTCGAGATCAATGAGAAGCTAGAATTCGACAACGCCCATCTCCGCGCGGTGTGTGCCCACATTGAAAGGGGTCATATTTATCACGACAAAATCGGCTATCATTCTCACAAACGTAAAGATCGATGCCATAGCACAAGCACGAGTAGGAGCAGTCCTGGCTCTACAAGCGGCTCTAGGACGAAACCCGAGCCTGAGCCAGTGACTAGTTTGATATCGATTAATGTTGAGGAGTTCCCAGAGGAGGTGCGGGCTGTCTATGCGGCAGCCTCTCCGTCTTCCACGATGGAAAAACAACAGGAGGCGGGCTCATCCCCATCTCTATTGGGGGAATCTCATCACAACATCGAAAGGGCCGTCGACCAGCCTTCGATGCTTCTCTCACATGAACCTCAAGTCCCGCCCGCGTCCGTACAGTGGTCGGGAATACCACCTCGGAATGTGACCGACGATGTAGAGCAAACTCGGCAAGCTGAACCACCACAAGGTGAATTGATAGGGGCCATGCGAACAGGCAGGACCGATTCTGTGGTGGGGTCCAAGACCCCACAAAGCTCTCGAGACGTGACGGTGGTCACGTGGGATAACAATGCTGCCCCTGGGGCAGCGTCTTTGATTGCATCATTTACCAAATTCGACAGCACCCCACAAACCGGTATCCCAAAAATTGACATCCCACAAAGCGGAGCCCCTCAAGAACACTCCTCACAAACCGGTATCCCAAAAATTGACATCCCACAAAGCAGTGGGAATTATCCTCCTGTAGGGGCTTCTAAAGATCACGCACCCGGGGATGGAGAGGTGCCGAAGAGCCATGCGCAATCCTATGCAGCACGTATCCAAGACTTGGAGCATTATGTTGACCATCTTAGACAGCAAGCAGAGACGGGTGTGGCCCGATTACGTCAACCACAGCTTCAGTGGGCCTCCGAAACGCCGGGATCCGATTCCAGGCTTTCGCCAATGACATCACTCATGAATCCTTCCGGTTTGTCACCATACGTCTTTGTTCCCTCCTCTCCATACCCCCATAGAAATGGAAGGATAGGATTTGAAGGTGTAGACTCTGATTTAGCGTCGTACTATCCTTTTCAGACACAACAGTTGGAGCAGACGCGGAAAGCAGAGGAAATTTCAAAGCTGAAGGAGGAGCTTCTGATGGAAAGGCAGCGTATCGCGGCAGAGTCCCAACGATGGCGGACATTCTTAGAACAAAACAACGTCATGAAGTCACAACTGAATTCAAAGTAAATGGTAATCTATATATCTTTACGCATATGTTTATTTACCGAAATGCTAGAACAGATGATGATGAAGCTAATATTTACCAGACAAATAATATGCCAATGTATATATGGATGTGTTTTGTGCCTGTATTTACTCAAACTTATCATTAGATCATATAGAGTTGCACTATTGGGAGGTTATTTTGACTTATATATTTATCTATTCATTAACGCTACACAAAAAAACGAAATCGAGTGTAGATATGGTGGTTCATCAGGTGTTCCGTGGTACCTGATGATATGATTCAGCATTCTGGACCACACAACCAATACCTTCGTTATTCATTTCATCTTATTTCACTAAGATTTCTTCTCCCTTTTAGAGCTGTTATAGTCTTTTGTGTCTACTTGGTCAAAGAGACTAGAAAAACGAGATAGTTTCTGAGGGAGCGAGGAGCTAGGTCTTTTTATAAGACTTCCTCTTTAACCTAATCACCTATTTTCAGAGAGGGCAAAGGAGTATACATAGCCACTCTGATATTTCAGAACTCAAGGGGCTGGTTTCATTGGCATAGTTTCTAAACAAGGTTTTATATTTTTATCACGTATTAGAAACACCTAAAAAAAAACTTCCAGAAGCGTAGCATTACTAAAAACGTAATATACACGAAGGAGGGGAGTTAACTTGCTAATGTACAATTCAGAGAGAGAGCAAACCGATCAAATTTTTAAGCAACAAGAGAACGTTGCATTACAAGAATTAAAAAATCGTCTAGGAATTCTTGAAGGCTTATCAAGAAAAGCTGGACCAAGATCAGGCAAGTTCTTAGATATCCGCGATAGCATCTGGAATTCTGCAATAGACGAGTTTCTGTTGCGTTTCCTCCGCTCCAAGAATTTGGTTGTGTCCGAGGCGATTAAAAAGCTAGGATATCGACGAAGTTTTGAGCAAAACTTGCTTAGTATCAATATTACTCCAACTACGACTTCGATTCTTCGAAGTGGAGCCATAAATGTGTTAGGAAGAGATTTTGAAGGGTGTCAGGTGTTGCTTCTTAACCTTGACGACCTCCGAATTCCAATACTAGATCCTAGTGAAGCACAGAGGTTGTCTATCATCCTGTTGGAATACATGCAATCATTATGTATGATAATTAATCCATTGGGATTAGATGTAGCAGCGACAGCTTCGAAGGCAATTTCGATTGACAACGTTCATCAGTTGTGTATTGACAAAAATCTAGAGGATCTTCCTCTTCCAAGAAGACAGAAATTAACACTTCTTGTTAACAAGAGCGTCGCATCCTGGGAAACTTACACATCGGCGTTGCGTAAAATCACTGCACTTTTCACTATTATTGACAAGTATTACCCTTACTTCGTAAACCGTGTGCTTGTGCACGAATCCGACCTTTTGGCTCGTGAAAGTTTCGACGCAAACCTGAAACAATGGTTAAAGGACATGAATTACATGATTCATGTTGTGGACACCGACGCATTGAAGACTTTTTTGCCTGAGCAAATTATTCCGGAGAGCCTTGGTGGTATGAAGCTGCACACCAACAGCCCTGTAAGTTTTTCTGAGGCAGTTCTACGCCACTGGGACGCCTTGACATCCGCCATTAGGCAGAGATCTAAAACAATACATAGCGATTGTAGCACTAGTGGAAACCCTATTGAGGTAACCGAATACTCAGGCATCTCATCCTGGCCTTTATATCTCTCTCCACTGCTCGCGATGAGCTTCGGTCATTTCCAAGCTGTAAAATGTTCATCAGAAGTGTATGCTGAGTCATGCAAGACAAATTCACCGATTGATTTGCGCCAAATCAATGCAGCTTCACGACTGAAGGATTCTTCAATTTCGACAGAGTCTTCGCTAGAGGTTGCGTCCACGCTATATTCGATTGGGGAAGGGCATTCCGCCCATAGCATGCATCCACCTACGAACGATAGCATTTACTCTGTCAATGAAAACAATAACCGTAATGAATGCAATCTCAACGATTCCCATGAGATCAAGGATGGGCCGGACAAAGATGTCCGACCCAGCCAATTTATTGACCCCTCGAAACTTGAACTCATTAGAGATGACCCGTTGTATGTTCTTCCCGCCCGAACACCGGAACATGGTCGTTGCCTTACGGCGGAACAGCAGCTTTGCGGTGCGCTCTTTAGCCTTCATCATGACCCCCATCCTTCCACTTTTATTGAGCGTAGGTTGGTGGATTTACACCAGGAAGTCGACGTCCTCGTGTCAGATCTCCTGTCCCGAGCAAAAGTCACCAGCAACGGAAAGGAGCTCCCGAGTTTGGTTCAGCTGCTCGATTATACGCTGACCGCCCTGGAGACGGTGGTCGACGTGCCGGAGGAGGTTCCCATTGTATCTTTAATGCAGCCTCGACAACGCGAGTCGGGTATATCAAGGTGTTGTTTGATGATGTAAATGAATCCTTTTTCTCCGCTTTTTGCGCTTTGTTCGCATTAAAAAGGTTGAAGAGGGGAACGAGCATATAATTTATTACTCAAGGGTAGCATTGTGTTGCTTAGAACTGGTATCTTTATTGCGTTTTCTACTTTCGCTACTGATGACGATGAAATGTCTGTTGAAAACCATGTTTTTTGTTCTAGTGTCGTTTTCTTGGTACAATGGGCTTAACAATCAACTGATATGGGATCATTAAATTTTGCTCTATTCTGCTTGATTTCATTAAACAGGTAGAATGGGTAACTTCAACAACTGAGGGTTGCCAAATAAACCCTAAAAGTCTTTTTTTATTATTCACGCAAGTTTTGTACATTGCTATTATAGAATTATTGTTTTGCATATACATAGTTTTTTCCCCTGTTTGATTATTCTGAAAGTTGCAAGACATTGCTGTTTTTTTTACATTATTATAGCACATGTAATCCATAAGTTCAAAACAACAACAAAAAAAGGGTTCTTTATCTACTTTTAAAAAAGTTAATTAAACAAAAATTCACAAACTCAATCTATATCACTTACAAAAGTGTAGATAATGCTTTTGGTTTTACTTATGGATACAGTTTTTATTTCTATATCAATTTTATTGCTTATTATTATTATGGATTACATCTACCGCGCCATTCAGCTGCTTCGTTTGCATAATCCTTACACTCATCACAAATCATTAATTTTTACTATATCTTTTCATCAGCTAATAAATTATTCACTTTAAAATTTGTCCTTCAGCAGTATCTCGCCGGTATCGTCATACAACATGTAAAGACATGCGATAATCACCTTGACAACCACGATAACATCGTATTGTGTGGTAAAAGATCAAAGCATTCAACCTATAAGCTAATATTAAAAATCTTTATTACATATTTGTGGAACTTTATGAGAAAGTATCTTCGGTTGGCACAGTGAGACAAGCAAATACAGTAACACCTGGAAAAAGGAAGCGAGAGGGATGAATTTTTCCCCTTCTGATAAGCCGATACTAATCATCAGAAGACTTGTGGAAAAAGAACAGAATCCACTTTATTTATTCTGTAGAAAAGATTTTTAGATGTCACCCGTAACGCTTCTGACTGTGAAAGGGAGTCTATGATAATACGCTGCGCGTGGTTTATGTCCCCTGCACGGTCTCTCTGATCAGTCGTCTACTTTTGGAAAGCACAGGTCCATGGGTGATGTGATAGTAGATGCTTCAATGACAGTATTGGTGCCCACGCTACCGCACACTTTTCATTGCCACCGGTATGCACGCTAGGAAGCTCTGAATGGGAGGAGGCCGTACAGTCTCAATGGGAAATTATGGTTGGGTGGTATGGCTCAACAACAAGTACCGTACTGTGGGCCCTACTTGAGATTAAACCAAGCGCGTTCATATAATTTGGCTAATAATATGCTTTCTCCGGTATATAATCCCATTCATTTTCATCAAGGGTTGCTCTTGCTTATTAAGTTACTATGGGTAAGTGTTTGATACTATTTCTACAGTGCAGTCAAGGTTGTAGATCAACCTTTCATTCAGTACCGATAAAAGCAAGTGTATAAATCAAGAGAAAAGCAAAATCACTATGATAAAGGACAAGAGAGATGAGAATTCCCATCTTCTCCTGAGTGCTTGTTGACCAATCCAAAGAAAAGTATAATTGGTTGCATGAAAAACATATTCAACAAACATATAAATTATATCCCGCACACACCTGCAAATAGAGTACAAAGTTGAACCTTTCCTTACAAAAGGCCTTTTGTAATGAATTCAGCGTCATGCGATTCAGTTTTCTCCATCTTTTCGACCATTTCATCGGTGCCTAACATAGTGTAGCAGCGCATGAAGATGTGTTGATAATGCCCGAACACGGAAGCGAAGGTGATTTTTCTGCCCAGTGGACACTTTTTGATCCATGAAAAGTGCTTTATGTGGCAAACTAGCATCCTCTCTATGATTATACTGGTTGAGTTATAAACCCAAACTAATGAATCGATTCTTCACGGGTGCGCTTTTTAATGTTTTGCTGTTTATATATATATATATATATATAAAGATAATAACTATTACTAGTGTAATTCTTTTTTACCCAGCAATTATTTTGTGTTATTACTTTATTGGATAGCACAGGACATACTTATGAAATATTTTATTCTTTACACACATACTTTAACTATTTATAGCCATGAAAACAATATCAACTGTTCTGTTTCGAACATGAGTGCTCTGAAAAGGTAGGGAGGAAGCGTGTTACCTCCCGAGGTTTTGTTAACCAAACCCAACCTCTCACATTTTGAAAAGGGGTAGTCTTGTTATTGTGATTGCTGCTGTGGTAACACCCTAATGGTGTATGTTTTGCTATGCTACCTGTTATTTACTCGTACACTAATTGCTTCCCTATTGTTAGTATTTGCCTCCATTTTATCTCACCATAACAAGCTGATTGCTCCCTTTATTGTTGTGTTTATAGGAAGCGTTTCTAAAAGTCACTCCGGAAGATATATTTTCATTTTTAGATATATTGCTTCTTAGTCGCCTTGAGGGGAAAAGTGTAGTGTATTTAAAAAAGGTCTTAACATACAAAAGCTGATTGCAACATCAAAAGAATTAGACAAGTGATGGAAACTGAAGCCTCGCCTTTTAGCACGGATGTTATTCAACTGCTCGCACTTCTCGTACGAAGCACCACGGAATCGGAAATAAAAGTAGCGTTGCAAGGAAATGGTGCCATCATGCGATTTGCGATCTCAAATTACACACCCTCAACGCACCAATCTATAGAAAGCGAAAAGAATTCAATAGATGGTACTGATAAAAAAATAGGAAATAATGAAAATGAATATGGAGAGGTCGATTTTATAGCCATATGTAAACTCACATCCGCAGAGGAGGAAAAAGAACGAGGACAGTCGTGTGTGGTGGCTATCACGGATCCAGTGTCACTCCTCCAGAAATGGAAGGAAAATTCTGGAAGTGTGACGATGGCAGTCCAAGACTCTCTAGCAAAGAAAGATGTAGGCACCGCCCACGACCCCGCGATGATATTGTCAAGTTGTGTACTTGTTAGTAAGCGCCGAAGAAGCACTCAAACGATTCCACTCCGAATAGAAGATCTTTATATCCAATCCATTGATCCTCACCATCCCTTGGAGGCCTTGCAAACGTGGCTTCTGCACATCTATGAACCGATGTTTCGATACCAAAAGCGCCATCAAATGCTGTGGAATCAAATTCAGGACTTACTGAGTGGAATCCGCTCAATGAATTCTGTGCTGCCAGACGTCGTGATTAAACGCTTTGTGCCGCAGGACTTGATTGAACTTTGTGCAACCAATCCTAGTCTTGACGTTCCGCAGCTAATGGACCGCCTTGGGGTGCTCGCACGGGATACAAGTTATATTCGTCAGGCCCTCGAGGTGAGAAACCGCTGCAAATCTGTTCTCCCACTAACTGATCTTCTTTCTGGAAAATACGAGGGCAATGACGAAACCAGCATCGAGGAAATTCGAAACGGAAATATAATTTTCAATGAAAATGGGGATGGTAGTATGAATGGTTGTCTGGTCCAGGAAAAATTAGCTTACTGGCGTTATGCTTGCCTGTGGATCGAAGATGTATTGAAACAATTGCATACTCGCGAGTGGCGACTTCTCCACAGGCTCATAGGTAATCGTGTTGAGACAAATTATGTTCTGGAGTACGCAGAGTATAGCAAAAAGGTACGAGAATACAACAAGTATCTTGAAAGCATTCCTGAAAAGCGACTTTCTGATGAAAACCTCAGACTTTCAGAGCTTTGCAATATCGCAGAGACCATCTTCTCTGCCGTCATGTCCCCAGAGAGCCGGTATCCACCTAAACTAACGGAAAAGCTATTGTACGGCATTGTCAATAATATAGCGACATGTTGGGTGAGGTTGTTAGAAAAAGAAAATATCATCGATATAGAAGATATTAGTATGATGTCTGTTACCACCGCAGCCTCAACAACACGAACGGGTGAACCCAATTGGTCCATGACATCGGTTAAAGACGGTCGTGGCTACCGAGACCACGGTTCATGTTCGACCTCCATTCTAGTTCGCCCCGGGCCAGTGAGTTCTCTTCAGACGCTTTCCATTGCAATGGAGCTTATCGTGATGTTTCAAAAACTCTTTGTCGAGAGTGATACTAAGCTTCAAAATCAGAAGGGTGTTGTACTGGGTGCTCGACAGAAAAAAACCGAGCATCCACGATTGGCAGCGCTGTATCGCCGCTGTCTCGATGTTAGGACACTAATGGAATACAACTTTACGCTCTTAGCTCAATTACGCCATGTCTTTATAGATAACCTTCACCAACTTCGGCCTTCTGAGGATAAGGGAACTGGCAGCGAAAACAAAGCTACCGATGTCAGCTGTTCCAGTAGTGTCAATCGCAACATCGGTGAAGAATTTCTGAAGGGCATTAATGCAGCCTACAGGCAGTTCGTTCAGGACATCCTTTGCGAGAGTCCTGGCCCCAAAGTCACCGGCAATAACGATCCCGTTGTTTCAGGAGTCTTGTGGCGTGTTGCACCATCTGCTCAGCAGCGCTTCGACACCGCTGTGAAGACTTATCAGGCCTACATTTCACAGTGTGATGAACAAATTGCTGAAATTGTATCAAACCTGCTTTCAACCGAGCAATCTATGAGTCTTCGTGTTACTTCAAACCAGAGTGGTGCACTACAAGGAAATGGAACTGAGGGCGGTAGCCCTAGTGTGCGGCTTTTAGCCACAGCGGTGCCAACGGCTTCTTCTTCCCTTAATTCGACATCAGCGAAGTACTTTGGGCTTCACCTGTTTCGTATATTTGCCAATTTCCGCTTCTTGAAGTTAGAAAAGGTACAAAAAGTGGTTCGTAGCTACGCTGCACCGCTGAACGAGAAGATTGTGCACCATTTTAAGTATATTCAAGAAGAGTACATCAACGTCAAAATTGCCAAGCGCGAGGCCGGGTTTGCCGTGGCCCGATACCACCTCTCACCTCTTATGGCGCAGATCATGTGGGATCGACGCCTAGATCACGCTTTGCACCAGTGCCTTGTGCACTATGACTACCTCTTGAATAATGGTTGGCATCAACTACTTAGTCTGCGCAATATTGAGCATCTTTGGCGGCTAGAGGAGCCCCTAGCAGAATGTTTTGGGCTACTTCTGACAGACCTAATCACACCGCAGCTGCAGGAAGGTTCGGTTGTGCATGGAAGCGCGTATGCCTTGGGTTATCTTCAACTATTTCACGCACAAGATCAATTGGAGTGGTCAACAGATCCACATTTCGCAAAGGCTGAGCGGCTTGTACAGAGCACGGACCCGTCACTTTTGCAAATAGCCAAAGACCGTTTACTTGCGGTGGGTGCTGGGTTTAAGAACCGTGACCGGCGAGGTGAATTGCAGAACGCACGCAGCATTTTAGTAACGATTGAAAGACAGATAGAGGCGAAGCTTCTTTCTTGGACTAAAAAAGTGTGTGATTTGATCAATTCCTTCACCCTTAATAATAGATCTCATGCCCTCCAAGATAAACTCTTCAGAGTTATTGAGTTGCCTGTGGTGTCTTCATCCCCTGTGTCTGAGAATCAACCCGGGGCTATTCCAAGTAATGTGATCTCTCCCACTCACAGCGTCAGTGCTTATTCCACTCCTCATGGCACACCAGACAAACAGGGCATGACAACTCGCAATAACCCTACGGGGCGAATCTACCGAGCGCCTTCAGTAGCTCTTCTTCGCTCTCAAAACATCAGCGCGGGGTTGTCGCCGCAGCTACGACTCGTCGTTGACTTTCCATGGGATACCCTAACAATTGGTGAGGATCTTTCTTACATCGAAGGTAGTCTTCGGTTCTGTTCTGATTCATCAGCTGGGGCGTCTATTCAAGCTAACTTAGCTCGCGTTCGCGAGTTTATCAACGCCAATGAGGTGCGCGGCCGACTGGCAAAATGTCTGGCAGAAATTCTTCATGTTTACTATGTTACGATACATGGCGAAGATGAGACTATCATGATGCTCGCTACAGAGTCGTACCGGGAGGTCAATGAATGCTTTCAACGTGGTTTCATGCTGCGCTGGATGGATGACACGGCACTTTCTCACTATGTCCAACAGCTTTCTGACCTTGTCTTTTCCTTTGTGCAGACTGTTCAGAGTGTGCGTGAGAAGACCGAATTTGTGTCCCAGAGAATTAAAGCTTTCAGTTCTCGCGCCTTCCATCCTGAGGCGATTGTCCAGCAGATGCGTCAGGTTCGACACATTCTTGACGCTCTTTCAATGGGCTGTGACTACGCTCACATGTGGATTCACCGCATACAACCACTGCTTGATGCCGCACTAGGAAAGCAGGTTAAATTCTTACTCCACTCTTGGTCGATGGACTTCCGTTCAATGCGCTACGACACACGTTTTCTTAGTCGCGACTCAGAAACAGGGGTCTTTCATCTTAAACCACTACGCGTTCGTATGTGGGTAGCTCACAGGGAAATCAGATTAGAGACACCCGCTGCAGCATGGCGATCCCACTGGATCGCCGAACTTAACCGCTATTTTACCTGGATCAACGCTCTTCCAAAGCTTTACGATGATGCCGACATGGGAATTGATTTGACTATAAAGGCATCGCCTTATGCCCCAGAGATTGCGTGGCTAGGACAAAGACGTGACACAGATCGTGCGTATTCACATATTATTGAGCGTTTGCCGGCTTACATTCTGGAGGAACCTCTTTCCATGATTGAGGAGTGCATTGCAGATGCTATTGTAGTGGAAAATGAATGGCGACAGAGCCAACAGTTTCTTAACCTTGATGTTGGAGTCATGCAGTATCGCTTTGGGGACAACCTTAAGCGGTGGAACGAGGCAATTTTGCTTATTCGGCGCTTCACACACGAAATGATGGACTATACCCAGCCTAACAAACTCCTTGGAGGTATCGTCATCGTAGCTGAGGATGCACAATTAGAGCTAGGTCGCAAAATCGACCAGGCCAATCTCTACATGTACAATAAGTTTAGGGACGTTTTGGAGGTAGAGCTAAGTCGTACCTTCCAACGTATTTCAAAAGAAAAATCAATGGCTGAGGCCCTCGATGTCACGACTGACATCAAAGATGCTGCTCTTTTTCTCTGTGACGTCCAGCGTATCAGATGCGAAATGGGAGAATACAAAGACACAATCGGGCTTATGTCTGAAGCTGAGGCAAATTTGAAGCGTCTTAGCTACGTCTTTCCTGACCACTGGGTTCATGTATCGACTGTCAAGAACGAGTACGACGCTCTTAAGGATACGTTTGAGCGCCGGCTTAAGGCTCTGCATTTCCGAAAGCCGTTCCTCATGCAGTACGCCCAGGACGCCGCCAAAGAGATAGAAGTGAGCATGAAGAGTGTTGAAAACATATTCAGCTCCTTGGAAACTCAAACCGCCAACCGAACACCCATTGCGGCACAGCAAATCATCACAAACTTGTTCGATCAGGCAACACGTCTCAATGAGGAAGCGAAGCGTGTGTCGGCAATTCAGGAGGCGCTTGGGATTATTCCTGTCGATGTGAGCAGTCTTACTCAGATTTTCTTAGAAACCGAGCCCCTAAAGGAGCTGTGGGATTCCGTTTCAGTAGACTTTGCCAAGCTTGACGCACTTGGGGCGGCTCCATTTTTTGAGATGGTGCCTCGCTGTTTGCAAGAGACCCTACAGAGTCTTGAAGCGAAAGTAGAGGACTATCCACGGCGTTTTCACCACTACCAGGTGTATCAGGACCTGTTGGGGAAGTTTAGAACTCTGTGTGGTTACCATCGACTGATGCAGGATCTGCGCTCTGACTCAATGTGCCCGCTAGAGCGCGCGTATCGCCACTGGTTCTCACTCAAACAGAAGCTCCAGGTGCAGTGGGTGCTCGACAACCTCCTGGTACGCGATATTTGGGATAGCAACCCCGAACTCAACGCGATGGTATACCACGAAGTGTTGGAAACTTCTCAGGGCGAACGCCGCATCGAGGTTCAGCTGCACCAAATTGAGGCTTACTGGTACGACTTTCACTTTAGCATTACGCCATACAAGACGCAGGTGGGCTTGGTGCGAGGGTGGGATGCATTATTTGAGAAACTTATGGATGATATTGCTACCTTTAGTGGGATGCGTGCCAGCCCTTATTTTTCTTCGCAGGAGATTATTGCCATGACAAACGAATTGGAAGGCCGCCTCAACCGGCTGCGTGAGGTACTTGAAACGCTTCTTGAAGTACAAAAGCGGTGGGTTTATTTGGATGGTATCTTTACTGAAAATGTTGAAATAAAGCACCAAATTCCGCGTGACGCGATGCAGTTTGAACACACAAGCCGTGAGGTAAAGCAAGTCTTCCCGCGAATTCGAGCGGACGGTGCGCCCACAAATGTCAAGGTTGATTTTTTCTTGGATGATAAGAAGCTTTTATCTACTTTAGAACGTCTCTTAGGCCAGCTGACAGCCGTGCAACGTTCACTAACGATCTATCTGGACGCACAGCGAAACCGCTTTCCGCGTTTCTTTTTTCTGGGTGATGATGACCTTTTAGAGATCCTTGGCAACAGCAAAGATCCCTGCTTCCTCAGTAAACATCTCCGCAAGATGTTTACGGCGGTCGCGAGCTTTTTGTTAGAAGGCCTAAACGTTGCCTCTTCCGAGACTCTTCGTGGTTTCGCGAGCCTTGAGGGGGAGGAAGTGTTCTTCAACTCTCCGATTGAGTTTAAAATGAGGCCCATATGTGACTGGCTTAATGACGCGCAGGATGGGATGGTGACCGCGCTACGGGTCAACACCGCACATGCCACCACGCAGCTCCTACAACAAGGCGCGATAACTCTGGAGTGGCTTGCCCAATTTCCTACACAAACGGTCGCGTTGGCTGTGCAGCTGTGGTGGGTGCATATGCAAGAGGAACTTTTCACCAGCCACAACGCGGTGGCAACCCCGCGACCGACCACACTTGTAGAAGGCACCATATTCTCCCCTGTGGCTGAGGTGATGAATAAGGTCCTAGCGGTCATATCTGATCTCATGCTGAACGCTAGTCATGTTCAATCGATGCGGTATAAATGCGAACAAGTCATCACGCTTGGCGTGTACCAGCGTGATGTCTCCCGTACATTGGTGTTGAAAAATGTCATTTCCTCAAACGACTTTGAGTGGTTGCGTATTTTACGACCGTATTTAGTCACCACCGATCGTCATCGCTCGCTTCCTAAAGCAGAGAAGCAGGATGTAGAATGTCGGATGGCAAATGCAGCGTTCTTACATGGTTTTGAGTACACAGGCATATATGAGAGGCTAGTTCAAACCCTGCTGACGGATAAGTGCTACCTAACGCTAATGCAGGCTTTGCATTTGCGACTGGGAGGCTCTCCTGTGGGACCCGCTGGTACAGGTAAAACTGAAACCGTCAAAGCACTTGGCATGCAGCTCGGTCGTCACGTCTTGGTTTTTAACTGCGACGATACGTTTGACTTTCAGGTAGTCAGCCGCATATTTCTTGGTCTATGTCAGGTTGGTGCATGGGGTTGCTTCGATGAGTTTAACAGGCTGGAAGAGCGCATCATATCTGCCCTCTCGCAACAGGTCCAAGTCATTCAGGAATCTCTCCGCGCACGATCAAAAGAAATAGAATTAAATAACTACCACATCCCTTTGCACCAAAATGTCGGTATATTCATTACGATGAATCCAAGCTATGCAGGACGTTCGAATCTGCCAGGAAATTTAAAGCAACTTTTTCTTAACATCACCATGATTGTACCCGACCGTGAAACCATTGCTGAGGTGATGCTCTTTGCACAGGGTTTTCACTTTGCAGAGAAGCTTTCAGCAAAGGTTGTGCCGCTGTTCCGGCTCTTCGGAGATCAATTTTCACGGCAAGACCACTACGATTTCGGACTCCGTGCTCTTAAATCCGTTCTGGTAGCCGCAGGGGACCGTAAGCGTGCCACCGCATCCGCTCCATCCCAAGCGGTAACACTTGAATTATGCGAATTCTCCTCCACGCGGGAAAAAACGGAAGAGGAACGTGAGTGCGCGCTGATTCTCGAGAGTATTATCGCCAGTATAGCTCCCAGACTTGTGACGGACGACGTGGCGTTGTTTTATCCCCTTCTGCGAGACTTTTTCCCAGATTCTGAGCTTCCAGAGCTGCCAATGCTCGAACTCCGTTCCACGATCCTGGAGGTCTGTAGAGTAAGTGGTTTAACCCCAGAACCGGAGTGGGTCGAAAAGATCTGCCAACTGTACCACACTAAGGATACTCGGCATGGTATCATGATGGTCGGCCCGTGCGGTTCGGGCAAAACTATGGCCTGGAAAACGCTGATGGCTGCCATGGCCCGCATTAACCGGTCGCTAGAAGTGCAAGCTTATGTAATCGATCCCAGGGTGCTAACGAAGTCTGAGCTCTTTGGCAGTCTTGACGTCACGACGCGGGAGTGGAAAGACGGGGTGTTCACAAGCATCTTTCGAAAAATTCTTGAAGTGGAGCAGCAGATGGCGGATCGGAAAACCCAGGCCAGCACGGTGACAGCCAAGGTTGATCCCAAGGAGATTACCACTGAGAACATGACAGAGGCTTCCGTCAAGGAGTACTGGGTCATTTTTGATGGCGACGTGGACCCGGAATGGGTTGAGAACCTCAACTCGGTGCTGGATGACAACAAGGTTCTGACACTGCCTAACTGTGAACGTTTGCCTCTCCCGTCGTCGATGCGAATTATGTTTGAAACGCAGAGCCTTCGCTATGCAACACCAGCGACGGTATCGCGGTGCGGCATGGTGTGGCTTGAAGGCGTCATCTCGCTACCAAGTGTGCTGGACTTTGCACGACATCAGCTGGAGCGCAAACCCGTTGTAGACTCTCGTGGTTGCCGTGTGCGGTGGAACTTGGCAGAGGACATGGTTGGTGTAGCAACAAAGAATTCTAAACGAACTGCTATCGATGCTATCGTGCTAGGTCACCGCAGCAAGACGTTCTCGGCACATATCATATCATGCCCGATTACCGCAAAAGGCAAAATTATGCCTGGTAAGAAAAACCTCGTCCTTCTGCAAGAAGGATCGGCAAGTGCAATCAGCTCGGAACAAACCGGCGCGGCATCAATAGGGGATCGCTTAAATAAAAGTCAGGTCTCTGATATACTACATTCCACACAGAACGAGTTGCAGATGTCTGTGTGCCGAAATACACACCCTTCTTGCGAACGTATCAAGCAAGCTATGATGAAAATTTGGTCTGCAGGCTTTGAGGCAGACGGGTTTATCCACAAGGGCCTAATGCTAGTTCTTGGCAACCCTGAACTCAGAGATGCTAACATCATGCAGCCCAACGCACTGCAGATGATTGAAAGTATCGCAGCATTGCTCCTCGATGGGGTTTGGCGAATGTTTAGTGCGGAGCAAAAGGGTGAAACAGTAATCACAGAGTTACTGCTCACGAAGAGTGCAAACCATATACTCGAGTACGCGGTATTCTGGTCCTTAGGTGCTTCCATGGATTATGCCCATCGAAGTAAATTAGCAATGCATCTGGGTCTTACACCATACTTAGATGGCCAGGTACGAGATATCTCGGACGTCGAGGTAAACTACCTTAATGGTGAATGGAAAGCAGTCCAAGATCGCATTGGGCAAGTCGAAATTATAGCTGGGCAAGTTGGCACTAGCGACACTGTCATTCCCACTGTTGACACATATCGGCATGAGAACTTGCTTCTTGCATGGCTGAACACCGGGCGCTCAGCCATCCTATGTGGGCCCCCAGGTTCAGGTAAGACCATGACTATCACATCCCTGCTCAACAGTTCTCCTGAATATGATGCGGTATTTCTTAATTTTTCAAGCGGCACCACTGTGAAGACACTCATCAAGTCTATGGAGCAGCACTGTCGCGTGCAAAACACTTCAAAGGGCTTCATCATGACACCCGCCTCGGGCAAAAGACTGCTACTTTTTTCTGATGAGATTAATCTCCCAGAGCTTAATCAGTACGGAACTCATGAAGTCTCGCAGTTGCTTCGCCAAATCATTGAGCGCGGTGGTTTTTATCGCCCGAGTGATAATGTGTGGATCACGACGGAGGATATTCAAATTGTGGGTGCCTGCAATCCCCCAACAGATCCGGGGCGTGTTGCGTTATCACCACGCCTCTTACGCTGGGTACCGGTCTTATTTGTGGGTATCTCTACACCGCATTCATTGTTGAATATCTATGGGACGTACTGTCGTGCAATTCTCAGAGTTGCTAAGAAACTGCAGGGTGAGTGTGCCATGCACCTGGCTCGCGCAATAGTCAACATGTACGACCGCTCTAAAAAGCGATTTACAACACTTCAACAGCCACACTACGTGTATTCCCCGCGTGAACTGTCTCGGTGGGTACGTGCCATCTACGAAGGGTTTATCACCTGGGAGGAGGAGAGTCGAAGGAACATGACGACGGAAAAGCTGGTTCGTTTGGCCATCCATGAAGGTCTCCGCGTCTTTTCAGATCGTTTGGTCACCGAAGATGATTGTATCTGGACTAATACTACGATAAATGAGTGCTTTATGGAGGAATTTCCTGGTCTAGACGTCTCAGTTTACCAGCGTCCAATTCTTTACTCAACGTTGCTTTCTCATGTCTACTCGGAGAGCTCCCGAGAGGATCTTCGCGCTTTCTTCCGCAAAAAAATGACCGTGTTTTGTGAAGAGGAAATGTCAACACCGCTAGTTGTGCTTGATACAGTAATTGACCACATCGTGCGCATTGACCGAGTGCTGAGGCAGCCTCTTGGTCACGTTCTGCTTGCTGGTTCCTCTGGTGTCGGCAAGACGGTTATCTCACGTTTCGTTGCGTGGCTCGGCGGCTACTCGGCTTTTTGGCTCAAGGTCCATCGAAACTATGATCTTGAGGACTTTGAAGAGGATCTGCGTGGATTGTTGTACCGTGCCGGGTGCAAACGAGAGCGCATATGTTTTATTTTTGATGAGTCAAACATCATGCAGCCCAGCTTTCTGGAATACATGAACGCGCTTCTGGCATCTGGTGAAATACCTGGCTTATTCGAAGGGGATGAATGGCTCAAGCTTATGCAATGCATTCGCGAGGCGACTTCGACAACTAGCCAAGTTCATCATCATGGAAATTCAGGAAAGGGGGCCGCGGCCTCTGGGACAGACGCTGCCGTGACCGCTGCCAACTACATTGACCCCAAAAACGAGCAAGACTTGTACCGGTGGTTTCTTAGTAACGTCAAGGAGCAGCTTCACATAGTCTTTACTCTCAACCCCTCCTCAAATGCATTTTCTTCGCGTGCTATGGCCAGCCCCGCGCTTTTCAATCGGTGTACGATAGATTGGTTTTGTGATTGGGATGCGCTCACTTTCAGACAGATTGCACATGAATTTATTCAGAACATGACAATGTTGCCTACCTATGGAGGTGGTATAGATATGAAAGTCTTCTCGGATGAGGATGGCATTCACCAAGCAGTTGTGCAAGCTTTTTGCGACATTCATCACCAGACGCAAGAGGTCAACACAGTCCTAAAATCATATCAAGAAAACCAGGGCACCTTCATCACACCACGCCACTTCACTCGCATGATTTCCAGTTTTGTGAAACTTCTTGGTGAGAAGCAAAACGCTTCATCAGAGCAACTGCAACATCTTACCGGTGGTCTTAAGAAGCTAAATGAAACATCTGATGATGTTTCTGCACAGCAACAAGAGTTGCTCGAAAATGAAAAGCGAATGGAAGAAAGCAGCAAAGCAGCCCAGGCCATGCTTGAGCGCATTATCACTGAAACAGACGTGACTCAAAGGGAGAAGGCCGCTGCCGAACAGATGCGAAAGCAGCTACAAGAAGAGCAGGTGAATATCGATCAAGCTGCGATGAAGATGGACCTTGATCTTAAAAAAGCGGAGCCAGCTCTTAAGGGAGCAGAGGCAGCCCTGAAAACTGTTAAGACGGAGCACCTTCGAGAGATTCGTGCTTACACAACACCACCACCGAAGGTCAAACGCACTTTGGAAGCAGTCTGCGCCTTGATGAATCTCAGTAATAGTGATGATTGGGACGTCATAAAGGCCTACGTCCGTCGCGAAGATTTCTTGTCGAGCGTCATGTCGTTCCAGTCAGAACGCATTACTGACGCCGCGCGCAACCGTGTTTCAGCCTTGACGAATGACAGCAAGTTTACAGTTGAAGCTGCGTACCATGCCTCGAAGGCAGCTGGGCCACTTTTGCAGTGGGTCTTTGCCCAAATTCAGTACTTTGAAGCGCTTAAGCGTGTGGCACCCATTCACAACGAAATATCAAAGCTTGTCGCGGAGCGAAGTACCAAAGTCACTGCTCTAGAACGAATCGAGGTCGAAATTGGGGAAAAGGAGGCTTTGTTGCTACAGCTAAAGGATGGCTACCGAAATACAACACAAGAGATTGCGGAACTTAAGAAGAGTATTTCGGTCGTTTCAGCGAAGTGTGAACGAGCCAAGACCATTCTTGGGCAACTTCTTGAGGAACGTAGTCGGTGGGAACAAGAAGTATCTAATTTTGGCCGGGCAGCTTGCACCACTCTCGGCGATTGCATCATTTCGTCTGCGTTTCTCGTTTATATTGGATTTTTCGCTGAATCCGTGCGCCGGCAGATTTTGCTACCGCGTTGGATGGAGGAAGTGGAAACTGCAAATGCCATCCCTGTTCAAGCACACCTGAGTGTAACGGATTACCTTCTTTCCCCTGTGGAACGCCTGCAGTGGGAGGAAAATGGTTTATCCAAAGATCTCCTCTGCGTAGAGAACGTGGTTATCATGGAACGTTCCCAGCACCACTATCCACTCATTATTGATCCAGCAAGCTCAATTATCCCGTTCCTAAAGAAGTATTACTCGAAGCAAAAGATCACTAACGCCAGCTTTGGCCGGCCTGGGTATCTGAAGCAGTTGGAGATGGCCATGAGGTTTGGCTACCCAATCATCCTGGAGGACGCCGAGCTGCTCGACCCAGCGGTGTCGCCACTGCTGAATCTGGAGTTTCGACATCTGGGCGGGCGCGTCCTCACGCGGCTCGGGTCGCAGGATGTGGACCTGGCCCCAACCTTCCAGCTTTTCCTCCTCACACGCGATCTGGACTTCCAAACCAAGGTGAGCCTCGCGGGTCAGGTCACCATGATCAACTTCACGGTGACCCCTTCGCTGCTGCAGTCGCAGTGCCTTCACCAGATCCTCCTGCACGAGAGGCCCGATATCGACGCCAAGCGCACGGAGCTACTAAACCTTCAAGGTTCTTACACTCTCAAACTTCGGGTTCTGGAGCAGAAGCTTCTCATCTCAATCGCAGAGTCACAGGGTAGTCTTCTCGAGAATGACGCCTTGATTGAATCCTTAGCTCGACTAAAGCACGAAGCAGTGGTCATTAAAGACGGTCTTGAAGAGAGGGAGTCGGCTTTTGCGTGTATGGAACGCGTAGAAGCTCGTTATTGCCCAGTTGCAGCGGTTACATCGCATATCTTCTTTGCACTCAAACGGTTCAACGAACTTAGCCACTTTTATCGGTACAACGAACGTTTCCTTTTTCGTGTGGTCAATGATTCGCTTGAGGCATTGCCAAAGAAATTGAACACCTCTGAGATTACCTGTGCTGAGGATTTTAAGTCTAACACGATAGATGCTCAACGAGACAAGATAGACTTACCACCTAATGCTGAGACGGAGGAAGAGCGCGCCCGTATTGCCATGCTTACGAGAAATATTTTTACGCTTGTCCACCGCCGCGTTGTGCGGGGAATGTTTCAAGAGGATCATCTTGTACTGGCCTTACGATTGGCCAAAATTTGGAGCTCCATGCAGTCTGGTGTGGATAGTAATTTCGGTGCCGGCAAATCGTTGCCCCAGGCGTTACCTTTTCGAGCCACGCAGTCGGCGTGTGATCCGTCTCCTTCCCTATTCATCGGTATCACTAGCTTAGAATGGGATTGGCTTCTGGAAGGTCTTAAAGGGGTGTCACATGCCACCGAACCAGGATTGCCATTATCTTCGACAGAAGCGACGACATCTTTGCCGAGTGTGTTGATGCAGAACGGGGTACTCGAGCCTGGATTGCAAAATCAAGTCGCACTGCACCAATTGCTTGAGAAGGAAGCCTTTAAAGAGATTCGAAAGTCAATGGAAAGTCATTCTCCGGTCTGGGAAATTTTTTTCAACTCCCACGACCCGATCGACAAACTTGACCAGCTTCCCGAGGTATGCTTTCCCAGTGGCGTCACACTGGTTCGAAAACTGTTTCTGGTTACGCTTCTCCTATTGTATGCCCGGCGGGACCACTTTTTGTCCGCTTCCTACAAACTTCTCCGTGCGTTTTTCGAGGATGATAATGGCGACTGCTCTGTGGGCAGTTTCTTTTCGCATATAACGCATAGCATTCCTGAAGTCCTACCTGAGCTTTCGTTTTCTATACCGCTTGTCTTAATCACAGATGCCAGCTATGACCCCTCCGCCAGAGTAGAACAAGCTGCCCATGATACAGGTATACCGCTACATGTGGTGGCTATGGGTAGCGCTGAAAGCACGGTATGCGCTGATCACTACCTCGAGAATGGTTCCAAGACGGGTTGTTGGGTACTCCTTAAAAACATGCACCTTGCACGCACCTACTTGGATTCAGTGGAACGATATTTACATCACCAAGAATCTGCAGTCACTGTGCACACGAACTTCCGTTTATTTTTGACCATCGAGCGCGGTCCACGCGAAGCCGAGCGACCTAGAGCCGGAATAGCTGTATCAACACACACTGATGAAAAGCGAAAGCAAACCGGCACGATCTCTGTCAGCTTCTTGGAAAAGGCCGTTACAATGGTATACGAGGCACCGCCAGGGATTAAATCGGCGCTATTGCAGACCTATGGTACACTTGGAAGCACGTCAGCGTCTGAGAGTATAACAACAACAACAACAAAAGCCGCTAGTGGAACCATCTCGGATGCGGCGCGCGCGCTTCAGGGCACACGAATTGAACGTTTGTACTTAGCCGCAGCATGGCTACATGCGGTCATCGTGGAGCGTATTTCCTACATTCCTCTGGGTTGGAGCCATGCTTATGAATACAGCGACACGGACTATCTGCGCGTTGTGCACGCCATCACGGAGTGGTCCAAGCTGAAGGAGTCCATTGAAGCAAGTGATTCCGCTGAGCCGGCGTACCCAGTTGTATTTTGGAATGCCCTACGCCGTATCGTGGCAACCATAGTGTATGGTGGTCGAATATGCAACCCCTTTGATGAGCATGTCCTCAACATTTTATGTAACCGTGTGCTGGACTCCAGTGTATTTGATAAGAATCACTGCTTTGTGCATCTGTCGGACGGTCTGGACAAAGTTCAGAACATCTCATTGCTCCCGCCGTTAGATGCAGAGACGTGGACACGGGAAGATTTGCTTAGATGGATCGAATCCTTACCTGAAGGCAATGGTAATCCACAGTGGTTAGGTCTGCCCAATGGGGTAGCTCGTATGGCCTCCTCTCGTTCTGCCCTGGAAACGATACAACGATTAGTTACCGTGCAGACAGCACTCCGTGAGGATATTCAGACCACTTCCCCGGCTCCGGTCTCTCATCCTGCACTTTCCGCATCCCAGCAGTTTGTAAAGGGTAATGCGAAAAAGAAAAGCAGACACGGCGCCCCAGCACAGGCAACTCAACGCTTTCTTATGTTGTCTGCGGGTTCTGTCGCCGGAACAGATTGGCAAAGCAAACTGCGAGGATTCTGCGAGGCTTGGCATCCTGTCCTACGCAAAGAACTGGAAAAGCTAGGGCAACACAGTTTTGTCATCAACGCTTTGAAGTCGGCAGACGCGACGCAATGCGGAGAGCGGTGTCTGATGCGGCCTGAGGAGGGCACGGCGCGCATGTGGAACGTTAGGCCAAAGTCTTCCTCGGCACCCTCTTCAATTACCGGAACGTCACCGCTCGTGCTGGCTGTGCAGCGCGAGGCTGTGGCTTTGCTTACACTACTTCGCCTTGTTGAAGTAGACTTGTGTGAATTAATCAAGGTATGTTCGGGCGAATATGCACCTAACTCGGCGTATCATAGTCTGGTTGAGGAAATTTTAAAGGACCGTGTGCCCTCAACATGGTCCATTCACGTTCCCATCACCAAATCAATTCTCTTGGTCTCTCCATGGATCACCGATCTACAGTCGCGAGCTCAACATCTACTCGCTCTTGTTGTAGCAACTACTGAAAACAAACTCCACCAGATGCCTATATCATTGGGTTTACTTTTCTCTCCAGATGCTTTTTTGATGGCATCCAAGCAGCAGAGTGCGCGGGAAATTAAATGCCCATTGGAGCAGCTTCATTCGGAAGTAGAATTCATGGCAGATACAACTTCATCTACGAACGTAATTTCCAAAGCTAAGGGTGTAGAAAATGGTGCACTATACTTCACTGGGGTGACACTCTTCTCTGCCTTCATTAATGAGCAAGGCCTGGGCGAGTCCATCGCACCCTTAGCGATGATGCCACTACTTAGTTCAGTGGTATTGCGGTGGACATGGGCGCCAAAAAATCACCTTAGCGTTCACCAATCCGTGGGAGCCTCACTAGCCATGCATCTCGCTTCGCAGCAGCCCCTTCTAAGCCATGTAATGATCCCGCTCTACGCAACGCACCAGCGCAGTGAAATACTGGAGGTGGTGAATTTGCCAATTGTACCCAACAGCGATCTAAATAAGTGGTATGAAAGTGGGGTGTGTTTGACGGCGTGGAAACCGAATGAATAGGTGAGCCAATAGGTACCTGTTTGTGCAGTTTTTTTTGTTACTAATTCTTAATTTTTAGCAGCACTTTTTTTTCTTTTTAGTTAATTTCAAAATATAATTATACTTACACCTTAACTTTCCGTTGCACTTACTTGAGCTTGAAGAGACATGCTTTCAGATACTCATATTGATCACAAAGAAAGAAAAACACTCTTACATCGTTTCTTTAGTAAATTTCCCCATTAATCGTGAAGTGAAGGGGGACAAACCCAAATGAAATTAAAACTCAGGATGGCAATCTTGCCTTTTGAATCTATGATTCTTTTGGGTATGGATCTATTTCATATGACACTCCTACCATCCTTTCCTCCATTCGTTTTCTCCAAAATGCATATGAATACAAAAAACTATGATACCTGAATTATACTTTTGAATCAGATAAAAGAGAATTATGGCGCTTCCAATTGAGATACCAACTTCCATTGCCGCGCCGCCAGTGGGGTATATGAACATCACGCTCGTCGGCACAGGTTCTTCCTCTGGAATACCTATCATTGGTCATATCGACACCGACTGCGCCTGTGTGGATGCCATGGCGAACCCTCAGAACAATCCCAACTGTCGCCTAAATGTCAGCCTTCTCATTACGGTACCTCACCACACCAAGTCAAAGCTGGCTTCAACAGACAGAAATAATGGTAAGGAAAACACACCGGGTGTAGCCCTAAAAGAAGATAATTTGACTGACGATCACTTCGATGACACGATTGTGAATCGAATAGGCGGCGTTCCCGTCCGCTTCACCCTCATTGACTGTGGGAAAACCTTTCGCGATGCATATTTTAAGGTGCTCGCTCGGCATGGCATACATGGGGTAGATGCCCTGTTGTTAACTCACGATCACGCAGACGCCACCATGGGACTTGATGACTTGCGAGACCTGCAGCTGATGCATATGGTCGAAGGGAATTGGATTGTTGATAGCTTTATTCCTACTTACCTTCAGTGCGAGACACTTCGATTTATCGAGAAAAGTGTTGGCTACATATTTCAAAATAGTCAAATCGTTGGACCCGCACCTGAAACTGCCCAGAAACATAAGTCGCTGCTTATGAAGCACATGGAACAGCAAAAGCGTATGAAGGGCAATAAAGCGTGGAATGACATTGGAATTCGACGAGCCACCGCGCTTCAATTCTTTACTGTTTCGCACCAAACTCCAGCGAAGTTATACATACCTGCAATGGGCACCAGCGACGACCCCAATTCGGCGGATGCCAATATTCCCATGTATTCGTTGCCGGTAGAACATGGCAAGAATTACATCTCGCTGGGGTTTGTCTTTGGCCGCGGAACGGCCTTCAAAAGTCAGTTGGTGGACGCCACAGGGACACCAACCACCACTCAGGACGGGTTGAAGGAAGCTAGCTGCGTGGTATACATCTCTGATGTCAGCAGCATCCCAAATGCATCGATGAACTTCCTTCTAGACCTTGTGAAGATCGACGTCTTAATCATCGATTGTGTACACGGTTCTGGAAAACGCTGTGAAACGAACATTGGTATGGAGGAAATGTCTGAGCTGGTGGTTCTGCTGAAGCCGCGCTATGCCATTGCTGTGGGCATGTACTGTGATATCAAGCACGATGCTGGTAACGCCAAGCTCCAGGATATGTTGGAAGGATATGTGAGAGATGGACGACTAAAGGCCGGCGAAGTGCTCAAAATGTCGTTAGGCTATGATGGAATGGAGATGATACTTCGACAGTAATGTAAAAGGTAAAGTGATACCAAGGGTTTCAAGGTTTCTATATATATAACACCAAAATACAAATCATTTCTAGTTTCTTAGGTGGGATGATATACAATTATTCCATCTTCAAAATTATCCAATACTTGATGCGATCGGTAAGCTGAAAATAATTTTCCTAGATACTCTACCTTTTCATCTTTAATTAAAGACTTCCATTTACACATAATAATTTTGACACGTACGTAAAAAAATGATGAGTTTAGTGTTTATAGGAACAGGAGCTTCCTGTGCAATTCCCGCAATTGGTCATCTCAGTCGTGGCACTAGCTGTGTCTGTGATGAGGCGATGAATAATCCTAATAGTTTAAACCGTCGAAATAATGTCTCCCTCTTAATTCATTTGCCCAAGGAAACCATCCAAAGTGCATGTATTAGCACTAGTGATATGAATAGCAACCCTGAAGAATCTGTGCTTAGAGAAAACAATCTAGAGTGGAGTGATTTTGAGGGAAGTAGAAGGAATTTTCAGGAAAATCGAAATATATTAATTGACTGCGGCAAAACATTTCGCCATGCATATTTTCAACTCATGGCGCCCCGTCGTATTCACTATGTGGACGCTCTCTTGCTCACACACGGTCATTCAGATGCCATGCTGGGTGTGGGTGATTTGTGTGCACTACATGCCGGGGCTTGTCGACAGCATCGCCGCTTGCTTGATTTTCCCTCAACGAAGAGTGTAAACCAACCCCATGATGGGGCTCGGGAGAAAGGAGATCTCACCTCAATATGCTCATTGAAGAATAAGAACTCCGCACTTCCCCCGCTAGCGCTTCGCCAGAGCCGGATCCAGGCCTACCTAACAGCCTTAACTTTTGAAAATATACGAGTTTTGCTGCCTGATATCATTCAACATTGCCGGCATCTGGGCGCGGCGCCAAAGGATGTTGCGGCTTACATTGAAGGAATGAAACAAAATGTCAATCACGATTATGAAAGGGATTTCAAGGACAGTCCGGTCGGACTGGATGTCTTCCAAGTCCATGAGGATACACCACAACGCTTATATATTGAGGCACTGGATGGTCTCATTCCCATGTATTCGTTGCCGGTAGAACATGGCAAGAATTACATCTCGCTGGGGTTTGTCTTTGGCCGCGGAACGGCCTTCAAAAGTCAGTTGGTGGACGCCACAGGGACACCAACCACCACTCAGGACGGGTTGAAGGAAGCTAGCTGCGTGGTATACATCTCTGATGTCAGCAGCATCCCAAATGCATCGATGAACTTCCTTCTAGACCTTGTGAAGATTGACATCCTTGTCTTCGACCTTTTGGCTTCAAAGGGGCATGCTTCTTTGCCGCACACTTGCTGGGATGACATCATGCCGTATCTAAGGCTGCTGACTCCCAAACGAACGTTTTTTGTGGGTATGTTCTGCTCGCTGGAGCACCACGCTTCAAACCTTCAGTGGGAGGTGGATATTACCAATGAAAAAAAAAGAGTAAAGATGCTGCTGCTTCATTCTTCAACGTCCTCCCCAGAAGCCGCAGGATCATTTCTTGATGCGACAAATGGTGATGCACGGGGTGCTACTGTGGATGAACTATACTGCGTAGGAGAACGGGATGAGGATCGAAAAGTGCGTTGGAAGCGTTTTCTGGAGATGGACACGCCTAAATTGGCTTACGATGGCCTGGAAGTACAGCTACCATTATAAGGCCAATCGTATCTTTCAATCTGTTTTTCTTCTTTTTGTATCCTCTCACCTGTGAAGCCTAAAATGGTAAGCAACTATTAAAAAGAGGAAGGGGAGCAAAGAAAATTGCACATGGAAATGCTTGTGCAATAATTTGAAAAATACGACTTAAAGTTGGTCGATATAATATTTCTTTTTTTTTCGCTGTTGGTATTTTAGAATTCGATTAAGATTCTAAAATCCCACACACAATGCATGCTGACAGTGTGTCCTTGGGCATATTGTGTGTCTAAGTGCATAAAAATTTTCACTCCCAACTTCTCTTGACTTCGCTTATATAGGTATATATAGACTTTTCGATACCAGTATTTCTCGCATAATCATATTTAGTCCTAAAATACGTTACTAGCAATGGCTTCCGCTATTTACATTCTTGATTCGAAAGGTGCACCGCTCATCTTTCGAACCTACCGGGGTGATGTTTTGCAGGACGTTCCTGCGGTATTTCGTCGTCACGTCCTCGACGAAGACGAGTCACGTATCACACCGGTTTTCATCGAGGATGGCACGACCTACGTGTTTGTTCAACACAATAATGTTTATTTTCTCGCGGTGAGCAACGTCAACTCGTTTATACTCCAACAAGTGGCCTTCCTGCGGCGTTGTATTACCGTCTTCGAAAGTTACTTTAAGCGTGTGAAAGAGGAAACCATCCGCGATAACTTCGTCATCATTTATGAGCTCCTAGACGAGATGACTGACTTTGGATTTCCACAATATACCGAAGGCAAGGTCCTCAAAGATTATATCTACCAGAAAGGACTTATTGCTTCACTTTTTCTGGATGATACACTATCGACAAAAACTCTTCCTGCGGCGGTGACTGGCATGAGCGGGGTCACACCGTGGCGTATGCCGGGTAAATATATGTATAACAACAACGAAGTGCTTTTTGACGTCGTTGAGCAAATCAGCTTGCTGGTCGGACAAAACGGCGATATTCTCTCTAGCAATATCCGAGGGTCTGTCCTAGCCAACGTACACCTTTCCGGAATGCCGCAATTGCACATGGGACTTAATGATAAGCTGTTCTTCGATCTAAATGGCCGTAGAACTGCCCGAAACGCGATAGACCTGGAAGATTTAAAGTTCCATGGCTGTGTAAAGCTTAACCTCTTTGAGAGCGAGCGTATCATTAGCTTCATCCCTCCTGATGGAAAGTTCGAGCTGTTTTCGTATCGTTTAAGCAAAAAGATGATGCCGCCGGTAATGGTAGTGTGCCATGTCACTCGCTTTGGAACTTCGCGGGTGCAAATCTCGTGTAAGGTACATACCATGTACCCTCAAAAAGTTGCCGCAAACTCGATGGAAATCTTCATTCCCATTCCACCTGATGCAGATTTACCTTTGTCAAGTTCTTCACATGGTATATTTCACTATGACGCGGGATCGAATTTCTTGGTGTGGAACCTACATAACGTCTCAGGGAAAAGGGAGTTCAACTGCACAGCACAATTTCACCTGCCAAGTGTGCGAAATACCGAGGCTTTGGCAAAAGCGCCAATCCAAGTTAGATTTGAGATCCCATACTTTGTGCCATCGGGGTTTCAAATACGCTACGTAAAGGTAACAGAGAGGTCGAATTACGAGTCCTTGGCGTGGGTACGTTATTTAGCACGGAGCGGGGATTATCAGATTCGAACAAGTTAACCGCAAAGGAAACGAAAAAAAAACATAGTTTTAGAGAACAAATGAAGCAAAAGAATAACATCAGAAAAAAAAGTGGAAGGACTAAGGAAGGAGGAGTGGAGTACACTCTGCAATGGGACACCCAAGAAGAATGCGAAAGCAATTAAGTTGGTTTCATTCTAGGTAGTACATTATTATCTCTCTTTTCAGTGATGTTTTTTTTTTTACTAGTGAGGGGCTTCCTGCTGCTTCATTTGCCGTATGCTGGAGTTCATGGATGAAGCCTGTGGGTCGATGCAACAAGCTCTGTGAAAGAATATATTCCATTTTCGTATAATGAAAAGCTTCAATTTAGTATCAGAAGCAAAACGCAAAAACTTCACTTGATTGAGTCTATCAAATGTTTTTGTGTGCTTTCAGTTATTTTAAGAAGACCTAAAATGCAATATTTCTTTTTGGCACTATCTCAAGGGCTTTGCTCTCGTAACCCGAGTATTTTGGAATACGGAATATTTCTCTTTTCAATTGCTGAGGGATATGGAAATCTCGATTCATTATTAAGGAGTCTTGTGTTATGTTGCTATGCCATGGTGATCCCGCGAAAAATCGATCGCACACCAAAAAAAAATCATCTAAACGGATTAACGGCACCACTGACAATGCAAAGTAAAATGGTATGCGCAGTGGGAAGCAAAATTTGTGTTGTGTTTCATGGAAACATGGAAGGGGTGTCAAAATGCCGCCGATTCTAATAGATGCAACTAATCGCATAGAAAACACCGCTCGCACCTAGGAATCGTAGTAAGTACTACTACAGTTTTTTTTTCCTTTCCATATCGCATTTTTTTTCATGTTTTTGCTGTTGTTTTGTATTCGTTGTTATTATTTTATAAATTAATTATCCCACCTACTGGGTCCTTTTTGTTGTTTCTTTGTCATCATGAAATGACGAAGATTTAGATAACCTCCCTCTTTATTATGTTTTTTCTCAACCATTGGCTTATTAAAAGGACAAAGGTCTAACGAAGTAGTAATTAACCGTATCCTTGTTGAGCACGGAGCTTGTCGTTCAGGTCATGGGAAAAGGTCTGAAGGACCAGGATGGTGGACGCACGGCGCCGCCGCCGGTAACCTCCAGACACCGCCGTATTGTTGGCAATTATGAACTGGGCGCCATCCTCGCCATTGGGGACTTTGACTCCTATACCCAACTCTGCACTTACATCCCAACTGGCGTCTCGTACGTCGTGCGGATTTATGATAAAGCGTTGCTCGCCGAAACGCACTGGATGTGGGAGCGGGTGCGCGAGTCCGTCCACGTCCAACGCGCCCTTCTTGAACACCCCAATCTCATCGAAATGGTGGAATGCTTCGAGACGATGACCTCCTTGTATATTGTGATGCCGATGTTTTCATCAATAACTGTTGTAAAACTTTTTGTAGGCCATTTCACCCCTTCAGTAAGTGGGGCGAGTCCTATGGAAGGCGCCCGAGCCCTGATCCCTGAGCCCAAACACACCTGTGGTTTAGAGGCCCCTGCAAAACGGCCTAGTACCAATACCGCGGATGGCCTCCTCCGAGGCGCGAAACCCGATTTTACCGAAGACGATGACTACAAAGTCTACAATTGCTATGACCATAGTGAAAGTTATTCCGGGGGTAATGAACAAAACTGCTTTGCCCCCAGTCTTGCGCACAAACCCACCGAAGACGTCGGCTTCTATGATGGAAAAAAGGACAGGCAAATAATCCTTGGCCAAGAACGAGACTCGCCACTGGGACTGACGAAATTTTGTGCCGCATGCACCCTTATCACGCGCACGCCCCCTCCCCAACCCCCACCCCTCGAAACGCACTGGAAGGCTGGAAAGTCATCCCCCTTATTAAGCCCGATAACGTGGATGTCCCCTGCACCGATTTTTCACCCCTGTAGCAGCAAGGATGAGATCGCCGCGGAGGGCAACTCCGGCGACGCGATGGAAGGCCCTGTGGACTTCCAGCTCGTTCGCCACGTCTTCCTCGGCGTCGTTCATGGGGTTTTGCATCTACACAGCCACGGGGTGGTGCACGGGGGGATTGCCCCGGACCACGTCCTCTACAACCCCACCCGCGGGATGGTGAAGATCAGCAATATGATCTCTTGCTATCGCTGTCGGCGGGGTTCGAATCGAACGGAGCTGCGCGGGACCCGCCATACCGTCGCCCCGGAGGTCCTCAAACAGGAGCTTTATGACCCCTACCTCACCGACGCGTGGTCGTTGGGGGTGCTGCTGTATTTTATGCTTAACGGCGGCCGTTATCCACACGACGGGGCGAACACCCTAAAACACATCCTTCATCACCGAATTCGACCCATGAAGACAGGCAATATCCCGGCAAGTGGGGTGGATCTTGTCATGCATCTTCTCCAACCCAACCCGTCGGAACGTCTAACGGTCGAAGCGATTTTATATCATCCATATTGCAATGAAGGTATTTCACTCACCCGAGGCAGCGCCGTCGGTCGCACCGACGAAAATGACGAGTGTGAAAGCCGAAAAGACGTCGACAATGACTCGTTCGTGTCGGTAAAAACCTTCGAAAACGGTTCACACCCCGTCACGGGTCCTGGCAATGGGAATACTCGTCTGCAAAGTATAACGAGAGTCAACAACTCAAGTAAATCCAGCCATCGCAGTCTACATCAGCTCCGAAAGCAGCTAACCCAGAGCAACCTCCTGCCGAGCGTGGGCAGAGTGAGAAGTCTGAGCTGTTCGCGCAATCCCACCACGACGTCGAATCGTGGGCCGCGTTCACCGCTACAATCCGAGCGAATCGCGCCTTTGCCCTTTCCAACTTCCTCGGATGGCGCGTCGCCTCGTCCTCTGTCCAGGAGGGCCGATTCCCTTTGGCTTCAATTGGATGCCGCCACCGAGAATGAGGCGGCGACGATCATTCAACGTGCCTATCGTCTCTACCGAGATCGGCGACACTTCCGATGGGTGACCCAAACGTTAATGAAAAAATCCACTAGGGGGGCATCCTATTCTAGCATAAACCGATCAGAAGAATTTGGCATCGGCGGGAACCGGTCTCTCTCCTCCCGTGGTCGGCAGCTTAAGCAGTGGAATGCGTTGAAGCAGTCATTTCCTGCGCAAACACTCAGCCACTTCGACGACCCCTCTGGTGAATCCTATCTCAAAGACAGCACAACTGTAGGGGGAAGCTCAACGGTTGTCATGCTACCATGTCATCAAGAAAACGCATTCAAGATCGACAAGGATTCTGACCTCAAGAATCGGTCCTCGGACCCAATACCCGGTTTTCTTAATATCGAAGAAGATGATGAACCGGTGCAGCTGTCGAAGTCGAACGTTTGCGCCACCAAAGTGCACGAAAACCAGCAATTTTCGCCTCTGATTCAAGAAAATAAGCTCCCTCATTTTACGTTAAACAATAATTTTTCGTTTCCTTCCAAGGCCTTTAGTAATCGAACCCCGCATGCGGGTTCACACCTTCGTTCGAAACCCTACAATGTCATCTCTCCTTTCCACACTACAGTGGCAAGATTCCCTGGTAGGAGGTGTTCCAGAAGCTTTGGGGGTGATTTGCAGTCATCAATTCTAACTTCACAACGAGCGCTGCGGCATACAGTCTCTAAGCCTTATGCTCACACCAGCTATGAGTATAAAAACGGCGTATTTTCACACGCAAACGGAATTTAAAATAGATCTTTAGATCGGCAATTCAGTGTGTTGTAGTATCTAAATTGAATATTTTCTTTGTTTTCGTGGGTTCTGGATTGCGTGTAACCAGCAGACCTAGTGCTCTTCGCTTTTGTGATATTTGAGCAAGAGGTATATGCGTGTGATCATTTTTTAATGATGCACAATTATCCCCTCTGCTGATTTTTATTTTATGTATATTCTTTGAGGTATATCATTTTCTTTATGAGTATCGATACACATGTTATGGCTTCATGTCTTTAGGAGTACGTGCACACTTTTGGTGCAAAATAATATGTTACCTCTCACAGTACTATTCCATCCATGAATGTTCCCTCCCCTTGTCTATCGCTAAAAATGATATTCATGAAGATTATGTGTAATCCCCACATAGGGTCAATGGGTATGTGATTGATGACCAATAGAATATGCCAGCGGTAGATGAACTTGAATTCTACATCGTGTTCTAACCCAATTTCTATTCTGAGCATATTTGCTGCGGTGATAGGCACACAAACTGGAAATAAAGCTGCGGCGAATGTCTAAAAGCGGTGTGGGGGATGCTACTCAAGCAATTTGACATGGGTTATCATATTGTGCACGGAGAACACTTTGAGCCTGTCTACACCCATTTCTGATCGTACAGGCGATTTTTCACCAGCAGCATTGCTGCCAAAACGTAAAATGGTGGGCATAAAATTGCTTCATGGTAATCTCATCTATCAAAGAAAAAAAACATTCAGGTCGCACGAGTAGATAAAAAAAAAAAAACTACACTTTTACCCATGGCCGTCAGAGTAGGGCGCTTAGGGCAGGAAATAAAAGTAGAGGTGATGTAAAGCACGTCTATACGCTATGTACTTTCATAACTTTGCATTTGAGTTTACTGACTATGCTAAGTGTTGGGTGTTTCTTTCACGGTGCACTCCACAATCTACTTGCGAATGCGTGTTAGTAATAATTCCAAGCTCGTCATCATGGTGTATGATAAAAATTAATAGCACTGGAATATCATCCTGTGAACTCATTTTTATTTGTATTCATGATTTTCTGACACATATTGAATCTGATCTTCGATCCTGTATTCACATAGGTTACAAAGTCACTCGGCACCCCCTTTACCACATATCACCCCGTTCCTTTTTATAAAATTTAACAGATGTCCAACATCAATAATAGCAGACATAGTAAACGATCTGGAGATCAATGCACGCATTCACAGTCAACGCAGGACGGTTCTTCGCTTCCCATAGCCTCCACAACACCTTGCGATGGCGCAAAGCCCATTGCTCCCCAGAGCTCCCTCATTTTTCCACAAAGCCTCAATAATACTCCAAATCTACTAACATTTGAGAATACCTTGTTAAATTACATAGGCGGTGATGTGAGCTCGCTAGAGGACGTTATTTTGCTCATCTTCGGGTACGGGTCTATTCTGTGGAAAAAAAACTTCAACTTCGTCGCGGAGTACGAGGCGTCCATAAAGGGGTACAAGCGGGTCTTCTACCAGGGCTCGCAGGACCACCGTGGGGTTCCCGGCAAACCCGGTCGCGTTGCGACCTTAGTGCCGGACCCCACTTCCAAAAGTCGCGTCTACGGGAAAGCCTTTCAACTCCCTTCCAATACGAAGGAGATATTGTGTGCTCTGGATGCCTTGGGTGCTCGTGAAACCGGGTACCAATGTATTAGAGTAGAGCTGTTTAACCCCTCCTCAACCCTCGGCCACCCTCGAGGAAACCCCGAAAGCACGGAGGAGGATCACAACGAGGTAGAATTAGACATTTATTGTCACCACCATTTTCCCCAACATGAGCTTGAAGACATTAAGAGTGGTAAAACGAAGAGGAAGAGGGTTGTCTCGCTTTGCTATATTGCGACACATGACAACAAGGATTACCTCGGTGAGGCGCCGATTGAGAGGATGGCAAAAGAAATCATTGAAGCATCTGGACAGAGCGGAACAAACTTGGACTATTTGTTTCGATTAACCAAGTGTCTACAAGAGATGGGCATAATGGATCCGCATGTTTTTGAACTGGATGCTGTGGCGCGGCAATTACTAAATAACATGCATGCTACAACTGCTGGCGAAGGGGCTAAGCTAAAAGAAGCTTAAGGAAAAGGGTTTATATGGATTCAAATACTTTTTTTTCTTTTTTCTTCTAAATATGATATTAATTACCGTTGAGAAGTTATATCTGCATCTTTTGGATTCGTAACGGGTGGAGGTTTCACATAATATGCAGTTAAATATTAAAAAAAATTATAAATACAAGAGTGTGAATAGCTATGAATGTTTCAAAAACAAGGCAATAGACCTGTAGGCGGTAAAATCCATCTGTGCATTTTTTCATAAAACCTATTCTACTTTTCAAAAGAATTTACTCCCAAGTATTATAATATGCGCTTATATGGTTTTTAACTTCTGGTAGGTGACGGGAAATAATTGAATTTCTAGTTTAGAAATGATTGTAGCGCACACAATCTAACCTATGAATCAATATCATTGAGCAGATGTTTCCGTTTGTCAAATACGATTTCTAATTTGCTTTAACACCTTGTTGCATAAGCGGTGAGGTTCTAAATGAAAAATCTCATAGCCGTTTTTTATTAAAAAGTCTCGTTTTTTTTTGCTGTAATGATGCATTCGTGCCTCCGAAAAAAGCACGGTTTACCTGTTTTTCCCTTTTCCTCTCTTAGTGTTTTATTATATGAAATTCGAACACTACCTGGTCCAAGTGTGGAAAAATTGTTTTCGAAAAAAAAACTGTTTTCCCAGGATACCCAAATCGCGGTGACTATGTTGGGGTTTACAATAAAGTTATGCAACACTTTTTTAACACGGTCGATTGCAAGGCCACCGATTACCGTAATCAGAAGCGGGCCCAAGTGGTGGTCCGATCCGGAGCGTATGATCAAGCATAAACTCCTGTATTTTACCATGGGCATCGACCAGCTTCCACTGCGTCGCACGGCAGTTATTCAGACTGAACAGATTCGCTTCCATATGTGCAAACCGTCCCCTCGTATTAACGATGCCACCGGGTACAAGCGCGCGCGAAGCGGGCAAATTAGAACCTGGTACCGCCGTATCCAATACCAGGAATATTATCTGCAACACCTCTTCACTAGACACGCATGGGGTTTGCTGCGAGTGTATCCCGGAAACACCACAAAGATTCACGGCAGGGCAGATGATGGCTACGTTGGATATGACGCAGTCCCGTTCCATCGATACAATCGATCCCCGCTTCCGTTTCCAGCAAGAGAAATATATGGACGCCGAAAGTAGCGGAATCCACCCTTCCTTCCTGTGTTGTGTTTGTGAAGTGGTGTAGTACTAAAACTGCATTTATTGTGAATTTACTCAACTTTGCGTGAACATGAATATCCGAATAACCAAAATGCTTTAGAAATCATTTAAGGGCGGAAACGCTTAATTTTATCTAAAACCCCAACTCCCTCTTTCTCTCTTTTTCTTTCCCTTCCTCCGTCCCCCCCCCTCCAAAGAAAAGCACACTTGAAGACAAAATCGCTGGACGCCCTTCGCCGCGCAATTAATTTTCTAGAATGTGATATTAATGAACCCGGTCCTAAATCTCCCATGGCGCAGTTGGTGTAAACGGTAGCATACCGCATGATTGTTCAGCGGACGACCCAGGTTCGAGTCCTGGACTGCGCATTTTTTCAACACCTAGACGGGATAGAGAAAACCGCGGTTTTGGGGGGGTTTCACTCCCCCACCCTTCCATCTTCCCCACCTACAAAACACACACACACAGAAAACAGTCATTTTTAAGAATGAACAGGCGCAATGTTCCTTATGTCTGCGGGGCTACCACGGAATTATTCCCACTAGTGGGTGATCTTACTCTTTTAACTTGAACCAAATCTATAACCCTTTACTTCCCCTCCAACTTACTAATTATCAGTTTAGACTTTGTTAAAGGTTGAGATATGCTTTTAACTTGGCCTTTTTTTTTTGATCACGCTGCCGTTGTGGTACGAAAAGGGGTGAAGTGGGGTAAACTTACTATTAGTTTCAGACGAATCCAATCTGCATTGAACCTGTGCTCTTTATTTGCTATAGAAATTTGTGGTATATCGATTTTTATTTTCGGAGATCACTTCTAGAAAATTTCATCTCAGGGAAGCCTTCTATTCCTTCTCCTAAAGCCTACCAAACAAAATAGGAAGAATTATTGGGAAATGTGTTTCTAATAGAACACAAAGATAGTGGTGCCTATGCTTGAATTGACGATTACATTATATAGCATTTTTTTAGAGGATCCAGTAACAAAGTTATAGTGTATTTCTTTGAAAAAAAAACATGTTTGGTTTTCCCTATGCACAATAAATCATTTTAGAATCTGCGCTATCAACTACCCTGAAGTGTTTCTTTTCGGACTCCACCATCTTGATAAGCCCACCATAGTGATGATTCGCAGCACGTTGAACGCTCATAGAGGCCCAAAATAACAGGTTCGCACTTTCGACACCGTTAGGTGGAATGAGATCTTTTACGGCATCAATCACAACTGTGCGGGATAGGTCAGCTTCGGCAGCTATCTCGCTTTCTAAAAGCCATGAACTATCCTCCTCCTTGACGTTGTTGTCATCGCACGGACTATCGCCACTAGAGGTCTTCCTTGTAATTTGATCGTCGGTTTGTTTGGTATTGCGATCTGCAATATAACCTTCGCATAAACTTCCGTGGAGGACCTTCTGCTCATTCACTCTGCACGGTGAATTGGTGGTTGGTGCGTTGATCTTGTGAACGGAGTATACACCAGGCGACATTTCCCTGCATGCAAACAATCGGGGGAACTGCTGGATGATGGTAACAATTCGAGATGGCAGCGCCACGCGCATTGCAGGGCTCGCGCACTGGAGAAAAAAATCCAGAGAGCACGGCTTATCAGGGGGCATTGCATAATGGAATACTTTGGCATTATCAAGCGGCGACAAATATGGATTTTCATCACGTAAGTAGGTCCGTGAAGTCATATCCGTCACTGAGGGTTCCTCCTCCACTTTCGTAAACGGATCAGAGGAGTCTACACGGCAAACAAATCGGTTTCCAACTCGAAATATCTCAGGATGCCGTTGGAGGATTTGCATCATCCCGCTATAGCCGCCTACACATTGCTGCTCCTTTGAGTTCAATCGTACGTAGACGTACTCCGGTCGATCCCAGATCGCGCACATGCGTTTCATGATGACAATGATGCCCTTAACATCCTCCGGGTACCTTTCTAAATCTTCCACGAAGCCTTTTCTCCAGCGAGAGCTATCGATACCTACACGTTTTTTTCTCACAAGTGGTAGGCCCACATAGCGCACCTCATATACCTCAAAGTCATCCTTGAACCGTTTTGCCATATCAAGCAAAATTTCTTCTGTCAGATTCTTCTTGGTGTAGCGCTGCATAATAAGGGAAAGAGGAACAAAGTAAGGCGGGGATACTCGGTAAAAGAATTTCCAAATCGCCTTATCAACGGTTGACAAATCCTCTTGGAGAGGGTAGCCATCGGCGCCTAGTGGAATCAAGTTGTTCGCTTTACGAGTGGCGATTGCCAAACTGACCTGCTCACGCGCCTCCTCCGGCGTCATGCCATGCGCCTCCGGATGCAAAAGGACGCTGCGCCGGATCTCAATTGTGCCCGCCATATCACGCACCTCAAAGTAATACGGTTGGCGCCGAAACCACATCAAGGAGCTGCTCAACCGGATACGCGACTTTTTGATCCCCGGCGGGATCCCAAGGTTCCCCAAGTTTCCCCAGTTCACAGGGATGTATTTAAGGATCTCGGCGACGTCTTCGCGAGTGGGCACGTTGATTGGGGCGTTCCAACCGCAGTAGTTGTTCTCTTGACATGCTTTGGATTGTTCCGAGATGGGTATTTCAAACCGCGGCGCCAAGAGCTCCTCCGGATCACGCCAGGTGATAAGGCGATCCTGATACACCCAAAATTGAGTTCGAAAAACTTCATCCTGCAGCACTAAAGATTCAAAATCATCGTATTGAAGTGAAGATGCGATATGGCGAAGAGTAGCGCTATGAGGGTTTTCATTCATCGAGGTCGATGTCTCCGCACTGGCGCTGCGCATAACACAACGATAGGCATCATTTATAAAGCAGTACCGCTGCTTCGTGCGGTCGTGTTCACAATGGAGAACCGCGTTGAGCGTCATCAGGATTGTTTGGTGCCGTTCCTGCGATGTGACCTGCAACTTTTCTGCGTTCTCCTCCCTTGCTGTCTGCATTGACTTTCCCGATGCGTAGGGGTCCGTCGCGTGCTGCGCGCTATCCAAGTTATCTATCGCCTTCAAAACATCCAACGCCTCCCGATTGCACACCCGTACGAGGGGAGAGGAATTGTCCCCACACAACGCGGCGGGATCCTCTGGGGCCGCCGGGCTGGTGTCCCCAAAGACCACTTCCAGGAGTGCCGTGTGCTGAATCCACCGCACGGCCTCGCCGGAATCGTGCAGAATTGTCTCTTGTGTCAAATGGGGGATTTGCGACAGAAACAGCACCAACGGCATCCCCTCTGGCTCAGAGCCATTCTTTTTCTTCGTGGTTGCGGTCGTAAAGCGGGCGACCGTGATCGCGGCTAGGCGCTCAGGCAGGGGGCGGGCAAAGAACCTCGCGGCGAATTCCTCCTGCTCCACGTTGACGCCGTCCTGCCGGGCGGGATCCCGTTTCTCGGGGCAATCGCCGGAGAGCGCGAGGCTCGCGGTGCGTTGCAACGATGTCGATGAAAAGGTCGCCCGTGAGAGGAATAGGTTGCTCGGTCTACACGGTAAGGAAAGCGTCCCCAGTGTGAGAAATGCAACTACACGAAATACATTGGCATGGATAGCCCCCCTTAGCATTTGAACTACCGATAGATTGCGTAAAAAATACTCTTCTCTTTCAAATTAGGCTAAAATATCAAATCGTAGTTGAGTGTTTCTAAGTTAAATATCTGTTACGTTTTTGAAAAAAAAAGTATATGTAGTCGGATTCTCACAAATGAGATTCTTATATAGAACAAAATAAATGTGAGGAAGTATGAAGATAATGTAAAGTGAGAATAGATACCATTAATAGTGTAATTAATAAAAGCCATTTGTTCCACTTAGGAAAAAACTCATATTTGAAGCGTAGAACAGAAATTCAAATTTCTTCATTAATAAGTGTGATGAATGTGAACGTATTTTTTTCATATGTGAATACTATAAAAAAGACTCGTCTATTTGTATATTACAGCATCGAAGCAAGAGTCATAATTGTCAAGCTTTGTCTTGCTTTCTCTCACTAATGAAGGGGTCTTAACATTCAAAAAAAAAACGGCATAAATACTAAAATATCCAAATAACTGTTTTGGGCCTGCGTAATTATGCAATTTTGTGTGAATGGTTAGACATATGTATCAAAACCTCAAAATATATATATTACTAATAAGTATATATGCATACTTCTTTATATATATTTATGCACTTAAAAATCATAAATTTATGCATAGGCATATACTAGATACCAAGCCTTTTAGGTGATATTCTAAGGAAGGAGGTAATATCATCGTTGTTGTCCTTTATCGCATTTGTAGCGTTTTACAACCTAGTTATACTCCTTCTTCTTCAGTCAGCTTGTAAACTAAACCATGGCTTGAAGATTTTCCGCCATCTTACCCACTTTCTCCTCCGTCGCCTTCACCTGTGCTTGTTGCTCGGCAATTCTCTCCTGTAGTTCTGCCGTCTCGCGGGTGATCTTCTCGCGTCGCTCAGCGGCTTCATATTCCGCTGCGACCTCACGCGACTCCTCGTACACCTCAATCTGCTCCAACACATCACCAGTCATGAAAGAAAACTCATCGTAAAGAATGACACCGCATTCCAACCCGGTCTCAACACTGGGGACGAGATCCTTGAAGCGACGCAGCTCCTTGACCTGACCCTCGTACACGACCTCCCCTTCTTCCACTCCCTCAGCTTCTGCAGGAAGCGGCTTCTTAGAGCGCTGCTTCTTCCGAAGAACACGAAAGGTCAAGTGAGATGCGTCTAAAGTTCCCTTCGTCACGGTCATCCCGCCGGCGTTCCCGCCACGACCAGCCTGGGATGATTTAAAGGTTTGCAAGCACTCTGCGCACGCCATTATACGAGTACGCTTGACCTTTGGTAACTGATCAACAAAAACCTGCTTCAGCTTCTCGATGCCATAGTATAAGACATCGAACCGGATAAGCGTGATGTGGGTTGGAATCGCAAGCGTATTACCATCTTCGCAGTTACCATACACCAAGAAGCACCCTGGGTGTCCAGAGCCACCTATCCTTAATACATCAGAGTTCTTGATGCCACCAATCTCTGTCATCTTGATCTCAACAGAAATGCCCTCTAAGCGGGGAAGTTCATAGATAGTTTTCATCATCGCCTGAAGCATACCAAAGGTAGCCGCCTTGCAGCAAATGCGAAAAGCTTTGGTGCTAAACGCACGGACAAGGTTATTGTCAGGCTTCCGGTTGTTAAACAACCCGATCTGCTCCTGGTTCAGCAGCTGTAGGTAATCTTCACGCTTACCTTCCACCGCGAACACATCACGCATGAAGTAGTAAAAATTCTCCGCATGCTTTTCGCTGCTCACCTGTAGTAAGGTCACTCCAGGTTTAGGGGCCATCTGAAAGCCATGAAGGATAACCGGGGTAGAGGGCCCAGCCTCAGCCAGCATCTCACCGTGTTCATCAAAGACCTTCTTAACCGTGCCGTACACCATACCAGCCACGAGCACCTGCCCTGGCCGCAGGCGACCGCACTCTACGATAGCCGCGACCTCGTTATTCGCGCCGGCCTTCTTCGACTCGATCACGCGGAGCTCCGTGCGGGAGGGGACAGGGGTGGAGACTTCACACAACTCCGCCTGTAGATGGAGGGCCTCGAGGAGCTCCGGGACCCCCGTCCCGTCCCGCGCGCACACCCGCACGAGCTGGACATCGCCGCCGTCCTCCTCGAGCTGGACGTCGAGCTGCCGGAGCTGATTTTTGATGTCCTCACAGTCGTCCCGTCGGTCGATCTTCGTGATCGCGACCACCATCGGGACGCCGATTTTGTGGGCGAGCTCGACGACCTCGACGGTCTGAAGTTGGACGCCGTCCACGGCGGAGACGACGAGGATGATAAGGTCGTTCGCGCTCGCCCCCACCTCGCGCATCGCCGTGAAGGCGGCGTGGCCGGGGGTGTCGATAAAGGTGATTAGGCTGCCCGTCGAGGTCTGGACCTGGAAGGCGCCCACGTTTTGGGTGATTCCGCCAACCTCGAGCGACGCCACGTTCGTCTTGCGCAGGTAATCGAGCAGCGTCGTCTTGCCATGGTCGACGTGGCCCATGATGGAGACAATGGGTGGCCTCGGATGGTAGGTGATCTTCGCCGCGGTGAATTTGATGTCATACTCCCGTATTAACCCCGCGCGGTGGAGGTTGTTCGCGACGCTGAGCGGGTCGGAAAGGTTGCTCGCCGTTGTGAAGTACTCACGTAAGGGATGATTTTCCAGCTCTTTGGCGGGGTCCGGCCCGGGCTTCGGGCGCGTCTTCTGCTGTGGATCTTTCTTCATCTTGTCCCTGCGGCGCATAAGTCGTGCCACTCGGGGGTCATCACTACCTACCCACAGCGGCCCGGAGCGAGTTGGGATAAACACTGCATCCTTCGCAAACTCGTTCCAATCCACCACTTCTTCCAGTCCCATTTCGCGGCGATCGTTTTGGATGGTTGCCTTGACATAGTGCGCCATCGTCTCGGGATTGAGTTTGCGCATATTGTTCTCCGATGAAAAGCGCGGGTCCAGCATACCTTCCTGCCATTGATTAGCGTGAGAGCCCTTAAAGCTCTGCGACTGCGCGCGAAAAGACTCGCGCAGTACGATGGACATCATAGCAGCCTTCGTACTACAGCTTGTGGTTAACACACCAAAAGCGCTTGGTGTAAAACTCATCCTTCGGAGTAGAACGGCAGACGGTCTACCACACACAAAAAACGATAACATTTTTTAAGATATGGCGATACTCGGGTGAATATATATATATATCGATGTGTGTGTGTGTATGAAAGGATATTTTATTTTGCGGAGAGCGTTTTTTCTGCACCCTGTTTGTTGACAATAAGGTTTGGTTGCTCTAGGCAGAAATCAACAAAACCGGCACACCTCTCACTCACTGAGTGTTGTTACGTTAAATATGTGAGCAATTAAAAAAAGGTCATAAAAACAAAAGAATAATTGTTATGACACGTGCTTTTCTTGACACACATATCAACCTATATAAATAAGTATTGAAGAAAAATGTTGATTAAGAAGAAAGGGAATAGCAGAGGTAAAAAGTAATTAAAGAAAAAGACAAAAGTTTTTACAAACTTATCGGGCACACGTTTTAGCCACTCTGAAAGTAGTAATAAAATTGATGCGATTAAGCGAACAAAGAAAACTCCGTATGGATTTGAAAGAAAGAAACTTCGCCGTTTGTTTTTATTCGCTTATTTGTATTGGTTCATCCTTTAAAATGGTCCTGTGTTTGAAAACAATAATTTATGATAAATCCGAAGCGTGCATGTTTGCGAATACAACTCGTAAATTATTTTGTTGTGTGTATGACAAGACGCAAACCACGACACAAAGAACCAAAAAGATGAATAAGGAAGGCCCATCTGTCCTGAATTCGCATCCCACGCGGCATTCATCCCACGAGCCGCTCCGTCTGAAAAGGCAGCCGCCAGACACGGATTTCGCCAGTATCACTCCCGCTCGCGAAGGCGTCCCCCGCGGCGGACAACGCCGAGGCCATGACGAGCCCCTCGTGCAGTTGAACCTGGCGAATTGGCTCGGCCGTGGGGAGCGCCCACTCGATTGCTGTGCGGTCATCCGAGACGGTGAGCAGCGTCCGCGCCGGGGTGAAAGACATCCCGCGGACATAATCGCCGTGGCCGATAAAGGTCCTAACATCGGGATCCGGGGCCCCGTCCGGTGCTGTGAGCGCGATCCCAAACACCCCCTCCGAGCTCGCGGCGAGGACCCAACACGGGGGCGACGCCGACGCCGGAGAAGGCGATCTCGATGACGAAGCGATCCCCGCCCCCGCTGGGGGGTCCATCCACCCTTCCGGGACCTTCACCACGTGATTAACCGGATTCTCGAAGTCGTCGAGGTTCTGCAAGAGCCGCTCCTGGGGAGGGGTGGTAGGGTCCACCCCCAGCCGCCAGCCCCGCAGCGCGCCATCCTCGGAGGCGGTGAGGAGGAGCTCCGTCTCGGGAATCCACACGAGGTCGTTCACCGTACTCACGGAAGCCCAAAAAGAATCGAGGAGGACCCCGATCGTCATCGAGGACGCAAAGGTGACCTCGCCGTCATTCGGGGCGTCGGATAGGGCATACACCCCGTGGAGGTAGACCTTGCCGTCGTCACAGGCGCTTCCGGTGAGGTAGCGCGGGCGCGGGAAGGCCGGGGAGCCTTCCCCTCGTTCCGGGAGACAGGAAAGGGGCAACAGGATCACCTTATTGACCCCTTCAGGGAAGTCGTGGAGGCTCCCCAGGGGGTGATCCGGGCGTCGCAGGTCCCACAGCGCGATGCTGCCGTCGTCGGAGGCAGTAAGGAGGTGGTGGGGCTCGTCCGGGAGGAATAACGCGTGGTTGACCGGCTCCCGGTGGTGCCGGAGACGGGCGATACTCACCCCGGAATAGTAGTCCCACAGGGCCACCGTCTCATCCCCAGAGGTAGAGCACAACAGATGCGAATAGAGCCCTACGTGAGGGCTAAAGGTCAGGGAGGTCACGCACGCGCTGTGGGCGTGACGAAATTGACTCCACATTGGAACAGGTATCAATAGAGAGAGAAATCTCTATTGATAGATAGTTAATTATTAGGTTAATGGGTGTGTTTTATTATTATTATTATTTTATATTATCACTCTCGATTACCTTGTTAATTATCCTTAATCGGTATATGGGTTTGAATTTACTTTCTAGATAATATTTAGTGCCAAAAGGTTCCGAATCCGCTTGCATAGAGAAAAGGAAAAATATTGTTTCATGTAGTGTAAACGTGAAGAGGCATGAAATGGGAATAGATACACCATTATCGAGAATGAAAGGTTCATCTCTGGAAAAAAGTTAAGATTAGATAGCAGAATCTCGATCAAGTTGGAGTCTCTCCAATGGAATTATTAGTTTTCTCTTATTTAGAACCTTTTCCAATGAAAAAACTGAATCTGTTTTTATCTATGTTAGATAGCAGAAAAAAAAAGAATAGATATGTATGTGAGTAAATAAATGTATATATATTACTAGAATAATTAGGGAAGAAATAACACTTGCCCAAGATATGAAGCAGTGATTGAATTTCATGATAACTAAATTCATGGGTGCAAAATGTCTACATTTATTTGAATAAAATAAAAAACTTTAGGGATTCCACCTAGGCATTGAGAGAAAATAAAAGGCCAAGAGCTATTGAATAGACGCAATTAGCTCTCTTATTGAATGGGTGCGCCGTTGAGAGCATCGCTGAAGCAAAAAAAGAGACTAGTTTTCACTCTTTAAATCTGTCCATCATCCATCAATGAAAGCACAATACCTCGTAGCTCAGCTTCGCTCTCACGCATAAGATTGAGATGTTTACAGATGAAATTCATGCATCGCATCGCCCGACGAAGGCGCTCCTTTCGAAGGCCTTGATGAGTTTTTTTCATCAAAAGGTCGTTATCATCATCATCATCATCATCATAAGTTTTCATTAATGTAGTGTTGTTGTTTATGGCAGGCGCTAGATTTCGTTCTGGAGGTTCAGTATGCGGCAAGTTCGTATGGAAATGCACAGAATCTGAGCATGCGTGAAAGGGCAGGCCGCCCTCTGAAGGGGTTTCCTTTATTGGATAAGCTCCTTCAAGCTGCACATCAGTGTTTTCCTCCTTTTCTTCTGCCACTTCATTATTTATTTTTAGAGGAGTGGAAAAGGAGACGACATAGAGAGATTTTGATGGTGAGCTCGCACGGACCGCGGCCGCTCCTTCGCCAGGTGATCCCTCTTTAGAGCCGTTCGCCGCGGAGTACCGTACTCCTTCTTCCGCACCCATCCCTTCACTACCACGCTCCCCTTTTCTATTTTTACTTTTAGTCTTTTTCGTGTTTGTGCCCCGGGAGGTAATTCTTGGAGGAGATTCCCGCTTCTTGGCAGGCGAGGGCTGCCCGCACGCCACCTCCTCGTCGTCGAGGAGGAGCAACGGAAATGGGCGCCGCGACGGCGTTTCCACCGAAGAGGAAATACCTCCCCCATCAGCTGAAAAAGGCGGCGGAATAACCGCCATCGGCTCCACTTTAGCGCGCTTGGCGGTTGTTTGAATATCCCCCGTGCGTTTTCCTCGTTTTCGCTTTCCGCGCGTGGTCAGACAACCGAGGATCTCACCGAGGTCGTCCATCACCGAAGAAACCCGCTGGCGAGCACGGCCGCCCTTCGCGGAAGATGGGGGAATGGGGAGCGGGGGCGGGGGAAAGGGAAGCAGCTCGGCATGCTGAGGAAGTGTCGTGATATCGGAAAAGTCATAAGCAAGATCGGGCGCGTTCGGAACGTTGACATTCCCATTTCGAACACTTTTTTTTGAATCCACTAAAGGAGGAGGATTGGTCGTCGCGGGTTGTGGATTTTTGCTCGAAACCACACACGATACAAGGTTGATCCCGCATGAAGTGATGTGCGGAGATGATTTGGGTTTAGACAGGGAATTACCTCCTGGTGGGTTACGAAGTTTCTTCGAAACAGCGTTGTGGAAGGAGTTCTGCTCAAGTAAAATATCACCAACGCATAAAGAAGATGCAACCTCCTGATAGGTTGAACTCTTCCCATTGATCTGCTCGTCGACAGATTCAACCTCTCGTGTGGGAAAAGTGTCATCTTGTCGAATCGCTTGACAAGGCGAAGAACACTTCTCACGAGATCTATCACTCGCCATATCTGCTATCGAAGGCGGAAGGACTGCCATATTTCTAGGAGCCATTTCTGATGACAAGTCCACACTATTACAATTATTTCTCTTCTTTTCATCCCCTTTTAGTGGTCCATCACGGCCGTTTAGGGTATTCGCATTGCACTCTAGCCCTTCGCTGGGGAGGTAAAGACCTTTCCTTTCTCTCAACCGCCCCACAGGGGTTGCTATCTTCGAGTGAATACTAACGGCGGTGCTAGTCGCTACGGATGCGCGCCGCGCAAACGAAGATTCTTTCACATTTTTATTGACCTTTTTTCTGCCATCAAAGATGCCTAAGTCGTCAATGCTTCGCAACCCTCCGCTTGCGCACGAATAAGCTCGGTCCAATGGTGGATTTCCAGTGGAATCAGGAGCTTTTCTAGTGCGGAGGAACCTCCCGGAAAAGCCATCCGCTCGCGCCTGAATAGCCTCCTCTTCGAACTGTGCGAGTTGATCAGAAAATGTGCCGTCAAGAAATCCCTCCTTGTTTTCTTGGTTGGTCTTGATCTCGGGTGGAAATAATTCCGTCTCAACGGTATTTTCACAATGAGAACGTGCACGTGATGCGCTCTTTTCCTTCCCGCTATCCAATCCATTTACCTCCTCCGCGCCCTTAAGAAGGGTAGTTTTATCGGTCTGCTGAGGACTTTCGTGATTTCCACTCGAGTTTTCATTGCTATTGCTATAAAAATTATTATTACTGTTGTTATTGATGTCGTCCTTGCTGGTATCTTCATCTTCGAGGTCGCCGCCAGGATCCTCAAAAGGGCACCCCGTAGGCAGCGGTTCTGTTATGGAGATTCGTGAGGCTGATCGCATTCGCTCTCGAGCAGCCACCATCGGCGCGATGTTCGTCATGAAGTTTGCCATATCCTCCCGTGAGAGCTGAAATAACAGCACGCACTCACCCCCAGAAGGTGGAAGAGACTGCCTCGGCTTCTCATGAGATACTCCATAAGAACCCGCGCCATTTCCCTTCTTATCGTCCCTCAGATCCTCGTTATCGTCGACATCGAGCTGCGAGATGAAGCTATTGTCCTCTGCCCATCGTATTACCGGCGCTCGTAAAGTAGAAATCCGCATAAACCCCTTTTCACGTACCACGCGAAGGTGAATGAGGTAATCATAGGGTAAGGTTAACGTCGACGTCCATTGTCCGCAACCATCCTCAGCGAGGAGTTGAAGGGAAGTTTCGTAGAAACTAAGCTCCCCACCAGCGAATTGCGCAGCGGAGACAACACAGCCAAGAAGAGAATAAGACGCGAGAGACTGCGAAAACATCGCATCTATGATAAATTCTGAGAATTTGTTGTATTTAGGATAATAATAATAATAATAATAAAAGGTGTATGAACACTAAAGGGGTTTTTTACTTTCTCTATCTTCCTTTGTTCAGTTTATTTATACGTATCGCAAGTTTATAGTATTTGGGTATCTCTGTGACGTTGAGATCGGCACCCTCCTTTTTTTTACACCTCCTCGCGGTATCGTAGGGCAGAACTTCATGAAATTTAAAAGAACAAAATGATTTAAGGATAGATGGAATACGTAGAAAAGGGGGGTTATTTTGTTTACAATAGTAATTCACCGCATTAAAAGGAATAAAAAAAGAGAATGCAAATGATTCTTTTTTATTATAATTATAGAGTAAAACAAAAAAAAATAGATTCTCGAACAATCGAATCTACAATGCGAACAAATAAAAAGAAATAAACACTATAGTACATTACTTAGACATCCGTTCTCTTACTTTTTTCTGCTAGTGTTCGTTGTTATCGCCTCTCCCCTTGTATAAGTGTATGAGAGTATGCATTTCCAACAGCTTGCTACAATACATTACATTACATACCTTGCCCGAACGGCAAGGTAGGAATTTTAAGCAAATTCCGCATATTTTCGATCCCTTCCGGGGTGCTCATAAGCTTATCCACATCGCTTCCCATCCGCGGTTGCCCTTCCGCGAAGGCCGGGGCCGTTCGCCTCACGCAGCCCGTGCACGAATCCACCACCGGGATCGACAGCCAGAGCTTCGCAATCTCCTCACTTCGGCGTTCCTGGGGGGTTTTCTCGTCCCCGTCGTCGTCATCCTCGTCGTTTTCGGTAATCCTGGAGGAAAAAGCTGCGCGCATGTTTCGAGCCCTCGCTGTCTTCCCCACACCACCCAGGACAGATTCATAGGGCTGCACTGGAGAGAGTCCTCCAAGGCACTCATCCCACAGCCGATGATCCTCTCCTTTGCAGTACGTCCATGCGAACGGCGCCAGCGCTCCTGTAAACGAGGAAATGCGCGAGTTCCATGAAGTGGAGGGGGGAAGAAAAGTGCAATCCCGCGAATTTCCCTCCGGCTTCGCCAGTGAAGATGAGGCGTGGGAGCCGTAGACGAGGCCATCGCCAAAGACGTAGCAGCCGCTCACATTCCGCCCGTGCTCCCACACACCGCGGTACAGCCCATCCCACTCCACCTCCACCGCCCCCTTTTCCGTCGGTTTTATGCCCCGAATTTCCCCGTTCGCGTTCGCCTTGAACGCGTCCGCGGTGGTGGACGTGCGGTCGGCCTCGGCTATTTGTTTGAGTAGGACGGAGGGTTCTCGGGAGAAGGTAGGCTTCCGGAAAAAGATCACGCCATTGCCGTGGAACATCCCCTCAAACATCCCCCCGACGTAGCGGTTGCCATTGCTGAAGGTGTACTGCCCAAAGCCGTGAAAGCGCTTGCCATCGACGGTGAACTGTCCTTCGTAGGAACTTCCCACAAGTTGCATGCGGGGGATGGAGGGTTGAGAGGTTGAGTGGGGTTTTTGTTACACGTTGGCTTATATTTGAACTACCTCCCTTAAAGGCCTTTTTGCCTGTATGACCTGGATATGGGACGAATTCTCAAAAAATAAATAATAATAATAATAAAGTAAAGAAGGTGAATGGAAAAAAGGTGAGAAAGATTAATAAAAGCATAAGGAATAAAAATCTTTCATTACAAAGAAAAAAAGCATCGTGAGGATGGCATACGTAATTCGACTGCTTGATGACAGTATACGTAAAATATTTCACTTGAAATCAATCCAAGATGGATGATATTAATATGGATAAGTGAATTTTATACGAAATGAAGAGCCTAACAATGCAATTACAGTTTTCGTCTTTGTTTTGTATATATATATATGGAATGCAGATTCAAAGATTTGTATTTTACATTCAAAGCATTTCCTATTAAGAAAAATATAAATTTTAATATAGGTAATCATACGTATTAAAATAACTCAAAAATAGCGGGAATACTCGTAGCAAGAAACAAGTGCACTCGTACTCAACTAGTGTTTTCATTATTGTATTTTCCCATTTCCTGTTCCTCTTGGTTTTCAACCAAATGTGTTTTCCATGCAATAAGCAATATACAAGAATCCATCCGGGTTTCGGTATTGCTCGTAAAGCACGCCCAATGTAGTGTTATTAGGGGGCATTGAAAAGCCGATTGAATCCGCCGTACACAATTTAGGGCTGACAACGGTAAGGAAGATCGCCTCGTGAGGGCTAAGTGCAAGACGCTCCCGAAGTAAAAGAATCACCTCTCCGACCGTTTTATCCATGGGTAACACCAATCTAAACGACTGAGTGCATAAAAAAGTGGTGGATGAGGGAAAAGGTAGTGAGGGAGGGGTGAAGGTATTTCGCTTTTTACAAGAAATCTTCTCTACTTCAGGCTGTGCTGAGTTTGAGGTACAATCAACACGATCCTGACCTGTCAGCGTAGGGCTGCTTCTGAAGAAGGAAAGAAGCGTCCTCTGATCAACTTTCTGAACTTTATCTATCTTGGAGCAACCTCCCCTTCCCGTGAGAGATTTTTTGTTAACTCCAACACCGTTCTTCTGCTTCTCGTCGGCAGTGCTACCATCATATCCCTTTTTTATCCATGGCTCCCTGGTGGGCAAGGGATGAGGGGAAAATAATTGTGCACAGGAAGAGGAGGAAGAAGCCTTCCCCTCTCCATCTAATCCCTTGTCATCTTTCACAACAGTGCTATTCACTTCCTTAGGATTGTCAATTCCACACATTCTCTCTTCTCTGTTGTGAAGGGGTTTCTTTGATGGAGAGGAAGTACTATTGTTGTTATGATAACTTACCCCACTATTCCACATATGATCAACAGGTTCAATAATAACTGGAATACAACCACTATAGATATTACGTAGCATCGTCGCCTTCGAACAACGCACCGCAAAGGGGTTAGTCATTTGGTAAGGTGTCTGCTGCGGCTTGTTGTTTGTTGAACAAAAAGAAGATTGATGCATTGATAGGCGTATATATATATGTATACATGCTAAAATCAGACTTATTTATTTATTTTGTGATATGCAGTTTAGATTTTTGAAGCTATATAGTGCTCACCCTTTTCTATTTTATTCTACAGTCCTATTTATCCTTTCTTTAAAAGAAGAAATCACCTAAAGCAAAACCATGTATAGTGCCACGAATGCGAACATAATGAAAATGGAAATTGAGCATATAATGCATGCTGGTCCTAAGCGTCTCCTTAGTCTTATCAGGCTAAATCCACATCATAAAAGATATTATAGAAAGAAACGAATATGCTAAATGAATGATCTCAGCTATGTGGTGCGTTGGTAAACAAATCATACTAAATATGCAGATTTTTCACAATCACTAGTAATATTTTCATCAACAAAACTAATGTAGAAAAATATCTAATAACACATTCGAATTAAAGATATGAGTATCCACTACTCCATATCCTTTTCCTGATAAAATGATCCCTAAAGTCTATAGAAAAACATTCACAAAATTGGAAAATATCGTATGATAAGCGTACAGAATCAATGTAAATCAACTAAACACTATTTTTAAGTGTGTTAGTAAATAATATATCTAAAAAATATAAATACATATTAATAAAAAGAGCTTTGAATACACACTAAAAAAAAAATAATTTAATTAATAAATACGCAAAAATGAAAAACTAATTAAGACCATTCTTGTCAGGCCTGTATGTATATCAACCATCAAAAGCCACAAAAATACCTTTACTCTATTTCGGTATTTCGCTGTTGTAAAAAACATGGCTTTTGACCACTTAGACAGTTAGAGCCCAGAAAGGTATAAAAAAGGTTATGAAAGGAATATCCTTTGAAGATAGGAAAACATAACAATTTTTTAAGAAAAAAGCATACAAAGAAAAGGAGGAAGCACCTAGTTGAATTCGCAACAAAGGTAATTTATTTTAATAAAGAAATCATAAGAATCCTCAAATATCAGAACTAATAACTTTCCAAATAATCTCCAAAATCATCTAATTAGCTACCACTATATATTCTAGTTACTTCTTTTCTTTTTAAAATTTATCCCCTCCTTCAACATTCTTTCCAGATCTTGGAGATCTTTTCAATCGTCTGCTAATATTCCTTCTGCGTTTTGCAGTACTTCAATCTCGTGGAGAAGTTCCATCGCGCTAGTGGTGGACTGTTGGCTGCCGCGAATCCGTGCGTTAAGCTCTGTCATCAAAAGCTGAATATGCTCGTTCAGTGCTGCAACCACCTCACGATGCCCTTGCTGAGCTTGCTCGAGATCTTCAGACAATGCCTCCTTTTCAAGCTTTAAACGTTCAATTTGATCGCGAAGATGGGCGATCACCCCTTTGACGGAGTAAAACACGTCGTGGTAGCGCGCAGTACTCGGTCCTGATAAAGAGGACACGTCGCAGCGTCCATCCCTGTGAGAACTGCGGCTATGGCGAATCTGCACCTCATCTTGCTTCGCCTGCAACTCCAGCAGCTTATTGTCACGATCCTCTATCTCAGCGAGGGCAGAGAATTCATTTGTGTGTGCAGATTCAAGCAACCCGACTAAATCCTCCAACTTCTCCACGGCATCAGTGTGCTCACGGGATTTATGGTGCAGTTCAGCTGTAAGTATGGCGATACGGTCATGCAGAGTGCCAATCGCCTCCGCCTGTCCGTGCTCTAACCAGGCAGAGGACTCTCGCAGCGTATTCTGTTCACAAATCAGAGCCTTTAGACGATCCTCCAAATCTTTACGAGAAAGCTGGTAAATATTATCAATGTTAATAACTGTAGCTGCCTCGTGAAAAGGAACCTGGCGGGTGGATTCTCCAATATTTTGAGGAAAAACACGTTTCGCATCGTATTCACGCTGCAAATCACAGCGCGCCTCTTCACTAGCGACTAAGCGCTTTCGTGCTTCCTGTTCACCAATGCGAGCCTCCTCTAAAAGCTTAACAAATTCCTCGAGAAGGTCAAGCGAGTTCGTGTGCTCAGAAGCATACACATTCAACTCATCAAGCAAACTTTTAATAACATCCTTATGAAACTCAAATGTGAAATTCCCTTCAGTAAGGTAATTATTAAGAAGATCCTCAAGCATTTCTCGATGAACACACAAATGAGAAAATTCTTCCTTTAGTTTTAAAAATGAGGCATTAAGGTTGAAAGGCTGTGCAGAATGTTCAGCATAGGAAGAATGAAATAGATCATGAGGCCCCAAAATTTCTGCCGGAGCTTCAGATTGCTGACGCTGAACTCCAACGTGGCGCTCCTCAGTGCTGCGGAGCTGATCCTCAGCTGCCGTTGCAGCATCAACGGCCACAGCGAGCT